ATGCACCATCTTGGCAGCTCGTAACTGAGGGGGGTTTTCCCCCTCCTTCCTTACGGGAGGTTCTCTGATAGTAGCGACCAGAAGGGCAGCAGGCCGTAGAGGGCAAGTCTCCGGGGTCAGGTAGGGAGTGAATCGAGCGGTCGTGTAGGGGTGATCAGTCTCGTCAGGCTCTTCTCGATTGCGATCTCCTACGACTAGTGTCCTGCCAGTCTTACCCTGCGTAATCGTAGGATCACGTTCAAACCCTATATGTGGATAACTTGCAGCCTCCCGCTCAAACGCTAGTCCTTTAGGCAAGGCGCTTAATTCCTCGTCTTCTTCTTGGGTAGAAGCATCCAGATTAATGCTAGATCCCTGTGGGACCTCAGCATCAGTGAGATGCTGAATTAGTTCTTCCTTGGTTAGTTCTTTTAAATTATCCTTGAGGTGTTGGATATCCCCAGAGAACGTCTCCTTCTCGTTGAAGATCACGTCTCTAGTGGAGATGACCTTGTTGGTCAACGGATTCTAGACCCTGTAGATGTTTGTCGAGTTATACCTGACTAGGTATCCTATCCACCCTCGGTGATTGAGTCGTTGTCGCCGATTCTTCTTTTTCAAAGCATCGGTCGTCATCGCGAAGGCTTTACAACTATATACGCGTAGGTGTGTTTGATCGGGCTTACGCTCCGTGACAACCACGCCGTCCCTAAAGGCAAAGTAAGTGTAGAAACGCTTATATGGCGTCTTCCAATTGTAGATATACTTGGGTGTCCTATTGTATAGGTATACGGCAGCACGCCAGATCTTAACCCAAAGGAACGAAGGCAGCTTTGCTCCGATTCTTATTGCGCGAGCTTTCTCCTTGATCACACCCCCCGAGCGCTCTGCGCCGCCATTTTGACTTTGGGCATATGGCGCGGAGGGCTCTAGGCGCATCCTGTGTTTGATACTGAGGAAGTTACTTACCTGGTGACTATCCGGGATCTCGTTATTATACTTGATGACTTCGGGCCTACACTGGAGTTGTCGCTCTAGTGTTCTGAGTAGATGCTTAAGTGCACCGATAAGCGTTGGTGCAGTTTGATCGGGAAGATAATAGTCCTAGATATAGCCAGAGTAACGGTCGGTGACCAGCATAGCTGAAGTGTAGCCTGGATCCCCACTTATGTCGTGGAAATCAATAGCGAGTTGGATTCTAGCCTTCTCGGGTGGAACTCGTCTTTGTCGATGGACTTGGCGCTTCACCTTTGCTATTCCGCAAGCATTACACTTAACCGTGGAGATCCCTCTGATCTTCACCCCCCGACTTTGGCCTACGAGGTGCTTGAGTGCTTCAGGCCCTGGGTGTCCAAGTCGAAGGTGCCAAAAGGTTTCGTCTCTACTGCGAGGAGGGCGTTTAGTCCACGAATTATACTGTTTCTGTTTGGCTAGGAATGCTGCTGCTGTTGTTGACTTGTCGATATACTCCAGTACGTACTGGTCGAAATGATCCGTTAATGTGCAGAGGATTGAATCATCTTTCCTGCGGATTTGGTTGTTGTTCCCTTTGGTATCCCAGTAGTAGCCCCTTTTCCGCAACTGGCGGTATGACATAATATTGCATGCAAAGTTTATGTAATGAGCTATATCTCGCAATCTGAGAAGAGAGGGTCCTTGAGGTCCTTGAACGCGAATATCTATGTTCCTGTACCCGTGAATGGCCACTGGTGACTCCCCTGCGTAGACGAAGTCTCCAGACGGTGCTGGTCGGTAGTTAAGGAACCTGCACACTTCATTGAAGATATGGATTGTCGATCCAGAGTCAAGGATGGCAGAATGTCTGAGAGGGTAGGGGGCATAATTGAAGGCTGCGATAAAGTTGTGCATTACTAGGTAGGTTGCCTTGATGTGTGCCATACCCCGCCCAAGTCACTCGTCCTGAGTGGTTCTGTCTCTACTTTTGGATAATCGTTTGATTTCCTCCACCAAACCAATATCGTTCTTGAGATGGTCATTTATTAATCGTTGTATTGCCTGGTTGGGCTCCCATCCTTCGGCTTTCTGGGCTGGGAATAAGTACCAGCAGCCTTTCCAGTTATGGAAACCTAAACATCCTCGACAGGTAGGGCTATCCGGGTTCGGATTAACGGTCGTCTCTGCTCGTTTTCGTTTTGTTGATACTCCTCTTCCGCCGCCTCGTGCTCTATGCCTACGGCTTTGGCCTCGCGTATCTCGATGTGCATAGGATGTTTCGTCCGTTGCCTAATCTGAGGCGTCTCCTTGGATTTCAATAGTGTTATTATCGCGGTCTGTGATTGCAGGTCTGTTATTCCTGGATGCAGCGCCGTATGTGGCTGCGAATGCGCCTCTCTTGATTCCTGATGGCCTTCTGCTAGCGTTGGCCATTTTGGCTTTGTATCGAATGTCGGCAGCGACCTCTCGATAGTTGAGGGAATTATTGAGGATTTGAGGGCGTCGGTGTTGTCGGAAAGTAGATGCCTAGCTGGGGAGGATGTGATACATTGCTTGGTTCAGGTCTTCCGCCTAGCATTGCGCATCGAGGGCATCAGGGACTTTCTTGCTGATTGCTTCGGCCATGGTCGTCTCCTACTCCGTGACCTACTCGTTGAGTTTGTTGATCTTCGGGGCTGTATGTACGGCTTTGTGGTACTTGTCGCGCGCTTTGGGTCGAAGGCGTTCGTTGTATACTACTCCAGATCTTTGTAGCTCCTGATACCACTTGTCTAATCGGTCTCCTGTGACGCAGGATGTTTTCTGATACGTGGCCGAGACCGTCTTGAGGATAAACTCGACCAGCTTCTGCTCCTGTTTCTTCGTCTCTCTATACGCTGTTTCTTTTAGAGAGTAGATCCTGATATCATGCTCGTATTCCGCTCTTCCTTCAGACGTCAACTCTCCGATTCGCCGGGGCGGTATGTAATCTGAGCCGGGCGTCATTGTGCCACTATCGGGATCGTCTGGATCTGCTTGTCTGGGGTAGTCTCGGATTTCTGGAAGTTCTGGTCGCTGAGGCCATCGGATACGATCGGTCGGATTAATATACTGCCACAGGTCGTAGGCGTGCGCCAGTTTCTTGAATTCGTTGGACCAGGAGTCCTAATCCTCCGGAGACGCGTAGCTAATGGTCCTCTCGGCGTGTTTGGCCGACATGGTGATAGAATGAACCGAAGGTCGTATGCATTTGGGTGCGCGGGTCGCTGAGATGCAATTGAGACTCTTAATTGTCAGACATTACGTGTATTCGGTTCATTGATGTGAATTGGTGTATTTATGTTGTGTTCTGTTGAAATCTACCCCTTAGAGGTTTTACCATTTCGGCTGTAATCTTAAAGTATCCCTGCCTGCACGTGAGACCCCAGCACCTGTTCAACAGATGTAGATCAGGATAATCGAAACAAGCCAACGATGAGAGATGGAACCAACAACAAAACGTCAAGAGTCTCAGTATTTATGTAGCATTTTTAAACTTCATCTCTTAGTACATCGTCATATAACTCCAACTCTATACTCCAGACACAGCTCAAGGGAGTTTCTTGTGATTGGTGGAGAATAATTTGCTCATTAAAAACACGAGGTCCCTTGTCAAGGATGATCCGGTTTGTCCGGAGCGTAAGCTTCCGCTGTTGGTTTCAGCCGTTTCAAGTCGATTGCCATGCCCCCAAAGTGACTAACTTGAACAAGTGTAGCAGCCCATTTCGATCGGATTGTGGCCAGATCTAGATGCACTTTGAGCTGCTTCGTTTGGTGGATTAATCATTTGCCATGTTTTCATCCCGCAGATGAGAAAATCCGGGGTACACGCGTTTCACGCACCTGCAGAGCCCTTCATTTCCTCCACTAGCTAGTGGATACTTGCAAATGAAGGCCAACGTCCATGCTCAAATTCAAAATCAAGTGCCGTAACTGCCGTTTACAACGTCGCATTGAACACAATTTGAACACTGGGGATGTTACTACAATACGAAACTCAAATAAAAATGGAATGCAAACCACGTAAGCTCACGGTCGAGATAAACAGTGGACAGAGAAGTAAGTGAATTGATCTCTGGACACAGAGTCTAAAGTAGACTATGGAATACATGTAATCGCCCCCAAGAGCCCAGGACCGCCATCCAGAGAATCTCCATCCAGTCGTCGATATTACGTACGTGTCTATCGTGCACTATTTTAGGCCGAGTATGCGGCAACACCCATAAAACCATAAGATCATCAAAAGATAAGAATGTTAAGCATCCACTGCACAGAAACAGGCAGCCCACTGAGAAAGTAAGAAGGTAAGGTGCGGGTGCCCCAGAGCAACGGAGTGGAAATAGAAGAACGAAGCGAAGATTATGCGGCGACATAGTCGCTAGTCGTTTCTGTGAGAGCGTTAGTGGGGGTTGGTTCGAATAGAAGGGGAGTACTAACAGAGGAGAGCAATGGCACCCATGGCAAGGAGAGCCAGGACGGGGCGGACACGCTCACCACCGGAGACGATGACAACATCATCACCAGAAGGCTTGCCACCCTTCTTGCAAACGGTAGGCTCAACATAGGGAGTGACGTCCCAAGGGTTGAAGCCGAGGCAGGTGGTGTAGGCAGTCTTGCAGGTCTCAATGATGGCACCGGAAGCATCGCAACAGGCCTTGTAGACAGTGGTACACTCAACAGCGCACTCCTCATCGGAGCCGGACTTGCTGGAGCTGTCGGACTTGGAGCCAGAGGTCTTGGAGTAGTCATCAGACTTGCTGGAGCTGGAGCTGGAGCCACCGTTGTTGTTTCCCTTGGAGCCGGAGTCCTCGCCGTGCTTGCAGACAGTGGGCTTGACGAAGGGGGTAACGTCCCAGGGGTTGTAGCCAAGGCAGACGACGTACTCCTTCTTGCAGACCTCGATGTCGTGGCCGTCAATGGAGCAGCACTCATCGTAGACAGTAGTGCACTGGACACAGCACTCCTCCTCAGAGCTGGAGCTGGAGCTGGAGCTGGAGCTGGAGTCGCCCTTGTTGTTGTTTCCCTTGGAACCATAGTCCTCACCGTGCTTGCAGACAGTAGGCTTGACGAAGGGGGTAACATCCCAAGGGTTGTAGCCGAGGCAGATGGTGTACTTCTCCTTGCAGATAGCGATATCGGCACCAGGGACGGCACAGCACTCATCATAGACAGTAGTGCACTGGACACAGCACTCCTCAACGGTAACCTCAACCTCCTTGTGGCCGTAGTCAGTCTTGCCAGAGTCTCCGTGCTTGCAGACAGTAGGCTTCACCCAAGGGACAACAATGAAGGGGTTGTATCCAAGGCAGACGGTGTACTTCTCCTTGCAGATAGCAATATCGGCACCAGGGACGGCACAGCACTCATCGTAGATAGTAGTGCACTCGATGCAGCATTGCTCAACATCGACCTCAACCTCGGAGTGCTCGTAGGACTTGTCGTACTTGGAGTTGTAGTAAGACTCGCCGTGCTTGGACTCATACTCCTTGTAGTAAGACTCCTCGTGCTTGCAGACAGTAGGCACCTCCCAGGGGACGATGATGAAGGGGTTGTATCCGAGGCAGACAGTGTACTTCTCCTTGCAGATAGCGATATCGGCACCGGGAACAGCGCAGCACTCATCGTAGATGGTGGTGCACTCGAGGCAGCAGTATTCGGCAGTGTAGTAACCAGCGTGGTAACCAGAGTCGTAAGAAGAGGTGGAGTAAGAAGAAGAGTAGTAGTGGCCGTACTTCTCCTCGAAGTAAGAGCTGGTGTACTTGGACTCGTACTCGATGTAGTAGCTCTTGTCGTGCTTGCAGCTGGTGGGCTTGACGAAGACAGACTCGTAGGGGTTGTATCCGAGGCAGACAGTGTACTTCTCCTTGCAGATAGCGATATCAGCACCGGGAATAGCGCAGCACTCATCGTAGATGGTGGTACACTCGATGCTGCAGATCTCGGGAGTGAAGCAGGTTCCAGTGCCGCACTCACACTTGCCAGGGACGGGAGACTTGGTAGGTCTGGCCATGGTGGTCATGGTGGTGACGAAGGTGATGGGCAGCTGAGAGGTGACCGAGGTGGGGACGTTCATTCCACCAGAGGTGGAGAAGTCGGTGGTGGTAGGTCCAGGAGTAGACTGGGCGAGGCCGGTCGAGCTCAAGGCCATGGTCAAAAGACCAGAGAAACCGAGGGAGTATCTCATCTTGAAAGATGGATATCAGAAAAGAGAGTGATTAAGTTGGATGTAAAACAGAAAACAAAAAGAGTGAATGTGAAACTGGGTTAGAAAAGAGTGGCAGACGCAACCGGCTGTGAAGGAGTGATGCTGGCTGAGCTGAAGAAGTTGATTTGGAGAGATGTCCACGGTCTTCTTATACTCAAATCTTACCTCAGAACTTCCCTCGGAGATCTTCAGTTTAGCTTCATTTAGAGCCACGATAGACTAGTTCGGAATCTGGGGAAGGGCCGCTGGAATTGGGGAAATTCGATATTTCCCCAGATTAGAGTGCCAGCCTGTCAAAGGCTTCAAGGGGTCAAAGATTTACCTCACGCGAGACACGTCCCTTGAGAATGTTTCAGATGCATATTTGATAGGTTTCATCAGATGACCTCGTATTCGAGCGAAAAATGCTGCAGTACCAAGGCATTGAAGGGAGGTCATGTTGTTGCCGGCTTGGCGAGCAGAAGTTTTGGTGTTTGTCTGAACCACACATTGCATACACAATAACATGCCCAGACGTTCTCGTTCAATTCTTTCTTGGCTTAGAAATCACCGAGAGGTTCCGCTATCATTACAATTGAGTTAAAGTCGGGGGCAAGTGTCGGCTCATGAGCTGAAGGGGTAGTGAACACAATGTCTCGGACCCTCGGTTTAGTCACAGCCTTCCCTGAACAATTGCCCAATCACGGCTTTTGAACCCTTAAAACCTCATTTCTTGGGTGGAATCTGACTTGCCGACGGCCGATGCCCAGACTACTTGGCTCGCAGGCTGAAGCAATCCAACGTATAGGCTTTCTTTAAGCTTGAACCAAGATTCCTAGACCCCTTTCACATAAACGAGAACCATAATAGGGCGGACTGAGACCCAGCCATCTAATTTCAATATCAGTTGACTTTGAGATGTTGTTTCTTTGCGAGAACGGATCGTCAAAGCTTGTCTGATTTTTGGGGCAAATCGACTGAACCAGAAGCTTAAGTAATGAAAGAGCTGAAAGACAACCCACTCATGATTATCCAAGGGTCATATCAATCATAATATCAGGGTTCTAGACTGTTGACCGCCTGCCGACGTCCGGAACTCGCGCGGAAATTTGTGGCACTAGATTCATATCAAAAGGTCTCAGGTGATCCTTGAGAATGTTTCACTACCGCCCGAGTCTCGAAAATAAGCAACTATGCATTTTTTTAACCTTGTATACCTTATCCGTCTAGCTTTGCATGCCAGCCTTAACGCAGGGATAACACGTTGCGCCACTAGCTAGACGAGACCGACAGATGCGCCAGACCGTGTCGGAGAAATGAGCATGAGTCGGAACATCGCGATCGGGTGACCAATTCATAGGGGTTGTGGAATGAGCGCTACTGTTTCGGGATTTGTTTTGGCATGACTAGGGTAGTATTGAGTCTGGTGTCATGAGTGTTGAGGCAAGATGGAGATCCATATCCCATTCTGATAGTCGCTTGCCGAACATGAGGTTGTAGAGGACATAGCGAACAAGATGATTAAGCCCAAGCCGTTCAAGTCCACCGGCCTCTTCGACCATCTTCATGGCGCCCAGTACATGTTTTGCAGCGACAAGATGATCTCCACAAGTAATCTACGTAGTCAGTAAGTTTTCTCGTGCTCTAGCGATGAACTCACCTCATCAAGCGCGAGAACCGTGGTCATTGCAACCGCATTCCGACGCGACGAAAGTCCCCGTGATGATAGTCCCTTCCGAAGGCTTTGTAAATAGTACTGCTTGTACTGAATGGCCATCAATGCGTACTCATCGCGGAGCTCAACTTGAGCCAAGTATCGACATGCCGCAAGGAGACAGCCTCGTAGAAGAACCTGATCAGTAGAAACGAAGAATATCCAGTTGCTTCTGATCTCAGCTGCTTGTTCTGCGATGTCCATGATTATAGGGCAATGTGCAATTTGGGAAGGCAAGACAGTTTGAAGATCTACGCTGTGATGGTTAGAAAATGCTACCCTACGCCAATCATGCGAAGCTCACATTGACTAAAGATAGAGTGCTCAAATGTCGAGAGGGATTTAATAAAATAAATTATGTTACTTGGTTGAAAATCGCCAGGTAATGTGAAAGGCACAGATGTTGATTTCTGCAGTACGCTGGTCGATGGTATGGTAAGTTTTGGAGATAGATTGGATGGTTCATCTTGGCCATTTGCAGGGTTCAATTCGGGAGTCTGCTGTCTCTTTTGGTCATGGTAGTCCACCATTCTTTGTTTCCGTGTCCGTGCATGGGCGACGCGAGCTGCGTGAGAGTGAGCCTTTCGCGTCGTCTTGGCTGACGCAGGTTGACCAGGATTGGTCACAGTAATGAATTGCATACTGAAAGAGATTGACACGAATAGTAAAACGACCGATATCAATTATCGACCGTCTGTCACGATCAGAGATGCTTTTGAGCAATGCATTGATGATGCTGCTTAATAATTCACAACTTCATGCCAAGAAGTGCTCCTACTCTATTGAGCCTAGTCTTAGCATGCTAACTACATATGGTAAGAGACCTCATCACCAACCTCTTCGTACACGGCGTTAAGAGCAGCAGCAACTTCTTCAGGCAACGGCCCCTCCTCAATCGTATCAACATTGCTCTCGAGCTGTTGGGGGCTAGATGCACCGATGATCAATCCATCGCCGTATTTCTTGTCAAGAATGCTGTGATGCGCCGTCCATCTGAGGGCTGCAGCATGCCCTCCGATGTCATGCTTGGCGAACACTTCAATGGCCTTGTCGACAGCTCCAAGAATGGATGGCTTGATGTAGAGCGAATTAGTGATGCTTCCTGATTTGTGCTACAAGATGTCAGTCATGTATTTGGAAGAAATTTCGCCCAGAATTTCTACTCACTGCCGAGTCAAATCGTCCATTTGGAGCAGGACTTTTGTGGCTTCCAGAAAAGAGACCGCCAGCAGCAGGACTATAGGCATAAAACGCCATGCCATTCTTTCGAAGAATGGGGAACAGCTCTTTCTCGCCGGCGCGGACAAGTGCGTTATAGTGACCCTGATAAACAGCAGGCTTGACGAAACCTCTCTTTTCACAGATATCGATCACTTGTTGAACTTCATTGGCCCGGAAGTTGGAGATGCCCCAAGCTTTGATCTTACCATCTCTGTAGCCCTGGTCCAGAGCTTCGATGGCTGGCTCAACCGGATTGTTACGATCAGGTATGTGAAGATAATAGACATTGATCTGGTTGATCTTTAGAAGCTTGAGTGAGTTGTCGATATCATGAGTAATGTTCTCTTTGGTATGGCCCTTCATGAAATCTGCTTTGGTGTCAATGCCGAATCTCTCGCCTGCGTTGACGGCCCCGAGACGAGGCTCAGAGCTGTAGGGAGCCTGGGGTGAATAGACTGCAGCAGTGTCGAGCTGAGTGTAGCCTCGTCTGGCGAAGACATTGATGAAGGCATTGACTTCATCTGGAGTATTGTAGCGAGCCCAAGGGTCAGCTTCCTTGTCTCCGACCTGCATCAGTGTTCGATTAGTTTTAAGTCAAGCAAATACGTCCAACTACTCACGTTTGCGGCTCCAAGAATCAGCTTGAGAGGTGATTTTCCAGCGGAAGTCATGATGTCTTGCTTTGGAAGTGAAGGTGAGTATAAGTTATAAGATGTGAATGATTGAATGAAGAACTGAAGACTATTATAGTAATCCTGTTGGATTTATATACTGCTTGAAAGTAAACATCTTGCTACAAGACTTCAATGTCGTAAATCTGCCAAGAAGTGCTGTTGCCAATTACGGAAAGCGTCAGAACGAGCTTCTGGAGCTTTGATTCGTCCGTGTTGACTTCGCCAAGACATGCAGTTTCCTACTGGGGAATGTGCTGAAGCCTCATGTCTAGCACTCAGCTTCGATATGGCGGAGGAAACGCACGAAGATGCATTTGTAATGCGGACTTTGAGCGGATTGCATTATAAATCATTCTGTAGGCGCAAGAATACGGGACTTGAGGCTGTAAATGGCATTTGTTGCGTCAATATCTAGAAATCAGGTGATAGGTCTAAGGTGACACCTAAGCTACATAGTTGGCCTCCATCCAGCCACCATCAACATATATCTCCTGCTTTGTCATGAATCTACTCTCATCTCCCAGCAAGAAAGCGATGGAGGCAGCTATCTCCTCCGGCTTGGAGTAGCGCTTGATGATTGACGTCAAGTGATCGCCCTCCGTCATCGTCCATGTACCTGCACCATTGGGCAAGTGTAGAGGCTGACGGATCATATCGGTATCAATACATCCTCTGTATCATAGTGAGTGCTGATCTCTAGCAAGTTAAGGAATACTTACGGGCATAGAAGGTTGACTCTGATGGGGTTCTTGGGATACTTGGCACCACCTTCATATGCAGCTGATTGACTCAAGCCGCGAATGGCGTTCTTTGAGGCTGCGTATGCTCCCATATTTCCAGAAGCATACTTGACCTGTTGACTGCCACAGTTGACGATGCTGCCTCCAGGTTTCATGTTCTTCATCTCGTACTTGATACTGTTGAAGGTGCCGATGACATTCACATCGAGAACCTCCTTCAACTCTTCGAGTTCAAGGTCTTCAATGGGGTGAATACTTTTGTTCATCTTGGCTATCAAATGGGTTAGCATGTGTCCTCCACGAGGTATCGGGAGCTAATCGTCCCACCTGCAACATTTGCAGCACCGTCCAAGTCTCCCCACTTGGCAACGGTCCCTTCAATCCATGCTTTGACATCATCAGGGTTCCTGACATCTGTGGGAAAATAGATGACCCGATCCTTGACATCAGGGATATCCTGCTCAATACCAGCAATGGCTTTCTTCAAATTCTCCTCCGAAGTAGCAGCCATGGAAACCTTGGCTCCACGTACCAAAAGGTACCGTGAGAGGGCCAGGCCTGTCCCGCGACTAGCACCAGAGACAACAATGACCTTGTCTTGAAAAGGGTACGGGTTTGCCATTTTTAGAGTCGCAAAAAGAAAAACCAATATTAAAAATGCAACCTGTAAGAGAATGGAGTATCGGCTACCGCTGTTGACTGGGTAGATTATATAGGGGACTCCAGATGCTTCTCAAGCAAGCCAAGCTTTGAGTGGTCCTAGAGGGGGATTGAGTGATACACAACGACCAGGAACAGAAAACGCTGCTAATACCTTGGTATGGAGCACTTAAAATGGAGCTTCTTGAGTCGTGGGGGATGGTCTACAGGGAAGCTACTGAATCGCTGCGTTATCTCTTTCCCCGAGAGGATATCGCGCCCGATGGGACGGAAGCGATCATCACATAGTGTTGCATCGTCTAATGATCCCGTAGTAAAACCGTTTCAAAAAGGGGGACCTGCCTTGGTACTGGGTCTTCATCCCTACAGCAGAACCGGTTGAGTTACATTGTGTACGCGAGAAATCTGAGCATTGCAGGGAACGGCTCGAAGGATTGAACAACTCATGCATCTTGACCAATCCTAATTCTGCATGACGTGGGTCTGCAAAAGGGGAAACAAGGCTCTTAACCTCTCTTTTCTTTTCCCTCTTGGGTTTGTTCAAAGGCGGCAAACGAAACCTACACGAGATGGTTATTACCATTAGCGTCAACGGGAGGCAACGGCTTGCCTAACCTCCACCGGTCCGGTCCGTGTTTCTCATTTCTAGTGCTGCTTCTGAGGAGTTTAGCAACGGAGCGAAAATAAGATTTGTGGGTTTACGTGGATCTCTTGACAAGGATCAGATCCTTATTCCAGGACGTGGAGCCTGTTGTTTTCTCTTTTCACATGATTTTCTACGAATGATACAGGGGTGAGGAGAGGTCGTTCCGGGCGAATGAGAAAAGAGAAAGAAGGTCAGATCACTAGACGGTGAAGGCGACAAAAGAAAGTAAAAGTGACATATCGTCAAAACACAGTGGGACTGCAGAAGCTGAAAAACTGGTACAAGACGTCGTTGATGAGGAGGAGGCCCGAGTGAAAAATCCCAACGGAGCTTGGTAATCATTGCAATATTCTGTGGTGTTGTGTTGGATAGGTATTGCTGAGTACGATGCCGCAGCCCCCTTTACAGATCAAGATGTTCTGTCCCAGCCCAGTGGCCTGGATACGCAAGGGATTTCAGCCCTGTTGTTCCTGAAGCAGGCCCCATATATAATAACGGATAACAAGCACGCTACAGAAGTGATCTGCAGCTGTCGGATGATGTTTGCGAAAATCATGGGCCAGCATTGTCTCAACGCTGGTCAACGGCCTTGGCTCGTTGCAAGGAACGTATCATCATGATTTACAGCTCATTGCCCGAAATCCTACCAATCCAGCGGCCTAGCATACTGTCCAAATGGATAATCGTAGGTCACGCATTTGTTGTTAATGTGGATCTCGCATCAGACAAAGCAAAACCACTCGGTCGAAACCGCCAATGCCGAGCTGATTCCCCTGAAGACCGTTGCAATTAGCCCACTTTCCTTTCCTTATCAAGCGAATCACATCGCTGGACATGGAGAAATTAACGAAGAAAAAGGAATAATATGTTGGCTGGACGTTTCATAGGGCAAAAGTGCCAAAGCTTGAGCGCGGAGGGCCTTGCCTCACTCTTCGCTGGCCTTGAACTGTAGGTCATAGTGGCAAGTGAGGCGCCCGAGTTTTCAACAAGTTCCTAAGGTCTGGCATAAAATCCTTTACCAGGCCCCCAGTACTGACATCGGTCTTGTTGCCTCGGGTGCGTAACGGGAAGATCATCCTTGATGAACAGTAGTGGAGCCGTTGCAGACGAAAAAGAAAGCTCCTGACAACGTCCGCCGTTGAAACAGAATAAGGAATAAGCTTGCAGATCTCACGATTTCCCATTAGATTAACTTTCAATCATCTCCCGGCTGAAGATTGTTGGCTCAACGCTGAATTCGTGGCCCTTCCCTCCCTGATTTGACCTCTTCCGCTACGCTCAACCGATACTGTTGCGGCCGAGTCGTAAACCACCATGGCTGAGGAGGTGTATATGATGGAGCCGCCCAAGGGGCAGGACAGATGGGAAGCTGGAAGTGCTGCGACTATACAGATAATCTTGGGTGCTTGTCTGTTTACGCTTGGAACGGTTGTTTATGGACTCCGGATCTTGACCAGAGTGCGGCTTCTCAAGAACCCTCTTCGTCTTGACGACTGTAAGTTTCTACTTTCACATCTAGGGTTCAATAGAGCTAACCTCATACTCAGTCCTCACTGGCGCTTCGCTTATAGCATGTTGGGTTTTTTATGCATGCACCATGGGCAGTAAGTCGTCCCATTCCTGTCAGCTCAGACATACTAACAAAGACAGTGGTTGCCCAGGGAGGCTGTGCTACCAACTTCTGGCAGGTCACTCAATCGCAGTACGAATCATTACTCAAGGTACGTTTTGGAACTCACTTCTTCGTCTTCGAGATGGCTGACGTCTTGCAGTGGACCATTCCCGTCAACATCTTTTACATGCTGTCCTCCGATCTCGCCAAAATCTCTCTTCTCTTCTTCTATCTCCGCCTCTCACCCGAGCGAACCTTCCGCATCGTCATCTATGTCCTGATCAGCCTCTTCGGTCTTTATGCCCTCATCTACGCTATGATTAGTCTCTTTGGCTGCCAACCCATCAAGGCCTCGTGGGACCTTGCCGCTCAAGCGACGGGCAAATGTGTGGACAAGTTCGGCTTCTTCTTGGCTGCGTCGGTTGCCAACGTAGTCATGGATTTGGTCATCTTGCTGCTTCCGCTGCGGATTGTCATCCCGTTACAGATTCCACGACGTCAGAAAATGTCACTTTTGTTTCTGTTCACTACTGGTGGCTTGTGAGTAATTATTCCTACAGCGCACAATTGTCGTACTGACGTCCCCCAGCGTCATCATCGTTGCTATCTACAACTGCGTTCTCACCGTCAAGTTATTCAGCAGCCCCAACTATACCTGGGGCCTCGCATATGAGCTTTGCTGGATGTATGCTGAATTGACTGGCTGTGTTATATGCGCATCCGCCAGCTCCCTCAAGCCATTCTTCAAGCGAATCCTACCCGGCATCTTCAGTAGTCACGGTGCCAGCTACGGTGGACCATCTGGAGCAACAGGCGGGTCCAATGCCATCAAGAGCCGAAGACAGCTGAGTCGCAAGCAAGCCGATGCAATCGAACTACAATCTGGAGATGACTCCGAGTCAGGAAGAAAGGTCACCGATGACGATGAAGCTACGCTCTGGCCCAAGCCACAGCAAAGCTTCGACAACGGCAACCACAAAGTTTTGGTCACTGCACCAGGAGTAGGTTCTGGTGTTGCTGGTTCACGCAGGAGCAACTCTCATTACCACAGAAACGGCAAACCTGATGGTATCGAGATTATTTCAACAACAGAGGTTATGTACAGTCCTAGGTAGAATACTATATTTCCTTTGGTCGCAAATAGAGTCTCATCGAGCTATTCCACTGAAAATGAACAAGATGCAAGTTGAGCGATCAATGACAGTCTATTAACTATGACAGGCTACGGTATGGGCGTGTACCCAAGATATCTAAAGGCCCTTCCAGAAGAAAGTCTTGCGCAGGGTAAAATCCGCGCGCGTAATCTCGTCCCTGGGGTTTGAGCTGGAGGCAAGTATCACGGTGTACTTTCCGGCTTCAGCCTTCCACTTCGATGCCTCCTGGCACCAGAATGACAATGAATACTTATCAAGAGTAAGTTCAGCGGTCTTGGTCTCTTCGACACCCACAGTGACCTTGGTAAATGCCTTCAACTCTCTGATTGGCCGTTGAAGAGAGCTGTCCGCGTGGTGGATGTATAGCTGCACAACTTCGGCACCCGCAAAGGCGCCCTTGTTGGCGATGTCGACCGTGACGCGCATCTGGTGATCAGCCGCTGGTGTGAACTCCTCAGGTACGCTGAGGTTCGAGTAATCGAACATCGAGTACGAAAGACCATGACCGAAGTAGAAGAGAGGCTCTCGGTCAACCATCTCGTAGTATCGATGACCAATGAAGACACCCTCGCCATATACAATGTCATAGTCCGCCTTAGAGAAGGTGAGGTACGCTGGCGTATGCTTGATGGATTTGGGAAATGTTAGTGAGAGCCTTCCGGAGGGATTGACCTTGCCAAAAAGGACATCAGCCATGCCATGACCTGTCTCTTGGCCGCCAAACCAGGCGTGAAGAAGAGTCGCCGCTTGAGACTCCCAAGGCATCTCAATGGGCAACCCTGATTGCGTAATGATAATCTGGGACGCGTCAGTCTAAGCATTTCGGCTAAACAAAGGTCAGCTTACAGCATCGGGGTTGGCCTCCAAGACAGCCGATATCAATTCGTCCACGCGACCGGGAAGTCTCAGGTGCTTCCTGTCGCTGCCCTCATACTCGAAATCCGATGATAACCCAGTGATAACGATGGGGACATCAACCTTCTTGGCAAGTTCCACGGCATCCTTGATACCCTGGTCTTCGTCGTAGAGCTCATAAACTCCAACGCGACCAGCGAGTGTTTGTGCAGTGCCAACGCCGCCCGAGAGGCTCTCATTAACTTGGAGCACCTCGAGGTCAAGTACCTGGCCCTTCTCGAACTCGCCCTCATAGTACCTCTCCATGGACAGGCGGTTGAAGCAAGGGGTAGAGTCAGTTTTTGGAGGCTGGCTTGTCCACTGGTCGATAGCCTCCTTGCCGTCAATGATGAGCTTTCCCTTTCCAGAAGTGCTGAAGCCGAACTTGAGCTTTCCCGACTCGTGGATAGTGTACTTGGCTTTCGCTCTGGCGTAAAATTTGGTTGGGAGTGTCGCGTGGTAGCTCTCTGGAACATCGACCAGCTGCTTCTCGGCTGTAGTTGAAACAAGGACCCTGGCATCGGGGTTCTCTTGCGGGTCATCTCCAAAGATCTCGACAGACCAGCCCTCAGAATCAGACCCTGGGGGTGTATGACCCTTAATGAGGGGACTAAATCGGAAGGCTGTTTGTAGTGTAAGCACGTATGTAGTGATGGTGGCATAATGCGTGACTTACAATTGCAACCTGGAGTATATGTGATATTCTCCTCTCCTACAACTTCCTTGATCGCCTCATATGGGGTAATGCCATAGTAAGGTTCAACCTCGGCACTTCCACCACCGCAAAGAGCAGGGTTCTTGACATGATCTCCAATCAGTCCGAACTTCAGGTTCTTCGGGTTCTTGATCGGTAGCCTTTGCTTGTCGTTCTTCAGTAGCACTACCGACTCGGCCACAAGCTGTCGAATCAGGGCTCGTTGTTCTGGCGTATCCGACTGAGGGGGCTTTCCTGATTTCTCGCCCGCCTTGCACTTATTGACAAGGTTCAAGACATTCTCAACGGCTGTATCGACTGTTGCTTTGGACACCTTTCGAGAGTTGACCGCAATGCTGAGGCGCTTTCCCCTCCAGTCTGTCGGTCCAGGCATCTCGAGATCCAAGCCAGCATTGATAGCTTCGGATGTGCTGTACGTGCCGAACCAGTCACTCATAACAAGTCCCTTAAACCCCCACTCTTCACGCAGGATCTCCTTCATCAGCAGAGGATCCTCACTTACATGGATTCCGTTGATCTTGTTATAGGACGTCATGATCGTCCAGGGGTCTGATCCTCGAAGGGCGAGCTGGAAGGGTAGCATATGAACTTCTCGGAGGGTGCGCTCGGTCATAACCACATTGTCCTCGATACTGTTGTCAGACTGATCGTGAGCTGCATAGTGCTTGACGCTTGTTGCAACACCTTGCTCTTGAACGCCATTGATGTAATGCGCGCCCAAAGTTCCGCTGAGAAAAGGGTCTTCGCCGAAAGCTTCAAAACCACGTCCGATCAAGGGTGAGCGCTGCAGGCAAAGTGTCGGTGCTAGCAAGACATGAACACCACGGACCTTCGCTTCTTCACCAAGAAGGCTTCCGATCTTATGGATGAGTTCAGTGTTGAAGGTAGCGCCCATTCCTGTAGCTGACGGTAGCATTGGACTCGGCATCTAGCGGTCTGTTAGTTCATGCTACCCAGACATTGAGGGGTACTCACACGAGTGAACGACCGCCGTCCTCGAATTCCATGAGGCCCATCTGAAGTCTAGCCTGTCAGTTTCATGGATTTTCTCATGCTTTATATCTCAGACTTACAATAAGCGCAGGAATTCCATGCTTCTCAAGACCGGTCATCCGAAACGATCCCTGGCCCGCCAGAAGCTCCACCTTCTCATCCAGCGTCAAGTTGCTCAACAGAGCTTCAACATCTACAAAATTTGCTTCGGCCATATTGTCCGAGGTCTTCAACAAATGTATAATAATAATAGAAGAGATTCTCCATGGAATTGGGACAAATGCTGAGTTTTGTTGAATTGGCACTACTCAGCAGGATTTAGCCGTCGGCTGTTCGGGCCGCTAAAATTACATGTCCCCTCACGTTGGATTGAGGTATTTGGTCTTTGGTGACATCTTGGCATCACGATCGTCGGGGTGACTGTCAACCTCTGTTTTGTTTGGTGGAGACTCCGCACCAAGTTAATAACCATGACAAAGTCTTTGTAATTGACACTAGTTGCAAAGCTGGGGTAATTGGATGCTGACAGCTCGGCGGCTGGGTCCATGCTTCGGGAGCGCACGCTCAAATACCAAGTTGAGGGATCATACTCAATCCTACGCATACTGTACATGTTCTAACTCACGCTGGCTTCTGTCCAATAGTGACTAACGCTCGAAACATCGCACCTTCTTCTTTGACTTCCTTCTCAAACCTCTCAGCCAAGTTCTCATAAGTAGAGTCGGGTAGCTTGACACCAAGGGCTGTTACTGTCAGTCAAATTCTCATACACTTTAGAAGATCAGACTCACCCTTTGCGCCCTCAATGAGGCTTGGGATGGTAATCACGAAAGGCTGCCACGATAACTCGGCAGCCTCATCGTCACCCAGCAGCTTACCCATGGGCAGATCCACTGCATGGACAGTCACGTTGTCTAGTCCTGCTGCCTCGAATGCGCCCGGCAGTTTGCGAATGCAATCGGATCCCATGCCCATACCATCGAACATAGCCGCGATGAGGTTGCTCACATCTCTCCACGCTGGACCTACGTTAGGCCGATCTGTTAGATCAAAGTCAAGCTCGTGGACCTGCAGCCAACCTCCAGGCGCAACCGTCGCTGTTTGAAGTTAGCAGAGTGGCTTGAAATAGTAAGACGCCCTCGTTCACTTACAGGCGAGATGATCAATGGCTTTCTGATAGCCCACCTTGGCAGCTCCAAGGATGCTGTACCTCACGTGTGTCAAGTCAAATGCTCCAACAAATTCGTCTCTAGGCAATTCACAAAGGTCATAAACTTCAAATCGAATGCCCTCTTCGGAAGCAGGTAGAAAAGCCTCGACAATATCAGCGCCAACGAGCTGAGCAGATGGAGAAACCTGCTTCTTCAGGTCACGAAGCAGAACTCCTAATCTTCCGGTTAGTCAAGTTAATATCTTTGACAGTCGGAGTATTACCATCGGCGCACCCGACGTCGAGAATCTTGAGTCCTTCTTTATCCAATGTCATTGGTGCAAAGACAATCTTGTTGTCAAGACATCTCTGAACCCAGGCATGCTGTTTCTGAAGCCGTTCTACCTCTCGGGTTATTTCCCAGGGATAGTCAGCTTTGTTCTTGGTGCTCATTATGAAAAACGAGATTGGATAATCTGTCTGCGATCGTAGTAGATTTGGCGATACTGAGTGTAGCGGCTTCTGTGAGGATTGAGCGGAACTACAGGAGGTCTTATATGCCCATGAAACTTATCATACTACAGAAACTCCCGTTGGGGTTCATTCACTTCTCACCTGGCCAAGTCTCACTACATATCTCTCCGGGTATCAAAAAATGTCTCCGGGCTTCTAGAAAATCTCCATGAAGCTTGAAAGCGATAGCCATGGCTAGTGCTTATTGCTTGACAAATATCGTAAGCTGAAATTGGCCAAGATATCACCAGGGTCCGTTCGCTGATGGCTTGATAGAGCTGCAGAGTCTCTTCCTTTCCCATCTTGGACCTGGGATTCATCTTTATTCACATGCTTGCCCAAATAGGAGCCGAGAATCGAGTGTTGGCAATGAGTAGGTAGGCTCACGTAATTTCAACGTATCATTCGGGGTTTCTGGAGATCTCTGTTGGTGTTCAACCTCGTAGCTGCTTACCCCGCCCCCCCTAGGGACCTGGTCCTAGACCTGACATACATGCCTGACACGTAAACAGTCAGGGTCTTTCCACTGTTCGCCTTCCCCAGGTTGGGGTTGATGACATGGATAATGTCTACCACTGAAGGTTAGAAAAGAGCTTCATCCGTAGCCTTTTAAAATAGGGCTGTTGTTTCCAAGTCAGCATCATAAGGCAAAGCACCACCAAAAGATCGAAAGCTCTTACTTCCTTGAAAATAAGTCTCGACGAGAGAATAATAGTAAAGCGACCTAGGCTGTAACAGCTTAGTTGACTAGATCCTTTCTTACAAAACCATCAGATTATAGTTCAATGTTAAACATAATGAATTCAAGTGATCATAGCCAAAAAGGCAGTTGTAACATATGTTGACATCGCTATATACATTTAAAACAGATGATGCCACAGGCGTTTCCAAGCAGGGCCGTTGGCAAGCTGCTCGCGATAAGCGTTGATGGTATCCCAATCATGCTCGCGACGACCGGTATCAAGGTCAATCTCGCTGACCTTTCTCCATCCCTCTCGCTTCCAGATGTATCCAACAGCATAGAAGAGGATGACAACAGGCAGAGCCAGGTATGACTGGAAGAAGCCCTCGGCAGTACCGAGTGATCCATCAATATTGGTCATGGCAGTGTAGAACTGCGCAATAAGAACGATGACGATGAGGACGAGTCCAACCCAAGAGCCCCAGACTCCGAAGACGTGCTTGAAGGGGATCTCATCCAGAGTGTGACCGTGGTACTTCCAAGCCTGTCGGAATCGGATATGGCAAAGGCAGATAGAGCCCCAGGTAAACAAAGCAGCCAGACCCGACAAAGCCTGAAGCCAAACGAAGACGGTGTTTCCATCACCACTAACACTGATGTATCCAAGAGCACCGATGGCGATGATGGAGACAACAGCAGGAAGAGGACGACCAGACTTATCAATGAAAGAGAAGAATCTGGGGGCATAGCCCTGTTGCGCGAGAGCAACAAGAGTTCGGCTACCGCCGTAGACGCAAGAGACACCGATAGACAAGACGGAAACAAGGATGATGACGTTCATGAAAGAATCGTATCCCTTGAGATGAGCGTTGGCGGCAGCGATGACGAAGGGAGAGGCACTAGGCTCGTTGTTGCTGGCGTTCAGAAGTCTGGGATCCTGAGAGTTGACGAGGAAACCGACGAGGAGAAGGCCGACCACGTAGAAGAGAGTGATTCGCCAGAAGACCTGCTTAATGGCGCCGGGGAGAGCCTTGGCGGGGTTCTTGGCTTCGGCAGCAGCGAGACCGACAAGTTCTGTTCCACTGAAGGAGAAGGCTGCAGTGACGAACACACCTAGTATCCATTAGTTTCTGAAGAGTATCACGGGACGGAGGAATTATATCTTACCGCAGAAGCCTCGGAAACCGTGCTGGAAAGCACCTGGGTCGTACCAAAGCTTGGCGCCCTGGTAGGTGCTGTACTGTCCATCAGAAGGACCTCCACCGCAAACAAGGATCACAGCGACGATCATGAAGATGACGGTAGCAGAGAGCTTAAGCAGTGCAGCCCAGAACTCTTCCTCGGCGTAACCAAGAGTGCCGAAAATATTGACGAGGATAATGACAGCAAGGAAGACCTGTAGTATGTCAGTTAGCAGGCTCACGATAGCTTCATGGGGGTTGAACTTACGCTGACCCAGATAGCCACGCTAGTATGCGGAGCCCAGTATTGAATGACTGTGCCGCAAACTGTCAATTCAAGAGGAAGAACGAAAGCCCATTGCATGACATAGTTCCAACCCATGGCGAAACCCCAAGAAGGATCAACAAATCGGTTGGCATAGCTGGTGATTTGTTAGCGCACGTACTAATTGGAAGGTTGATAAAACTCACGTATAGAAACCACCGGAGACGGGATACATGACAGCAAGTTCACCAAGAGCATAGACGACGTTGAAGATCATGACACCCATGATCAAGAAACCAATAGTCAATGAACCAGGGCCACCAGTTTGCAGAGCAGAACCGCTACCGACGAAGAAACCAGCACCAATACTGCAAATGGGTTAGCACGGAGTACACCAGACCAATGTTAGCGCGTCATCATTTAGCAGGGCGGCAATAAGCCGGCGTTGCACGATGACGAGGGAAGGAAAATGACTGACCTGCCACCAATGGCGATCATGTTAAGATGACGAGGCTTCATCTCACGCTGCAACTCAGCGGTTCCCTTTGCGTAATCATCATGGGGAGCGAATGAGCCGGGAGTAAGCCCATTGCGCAGCGCCCACGACTGCTTGGGTCCATCCTCAATGGGCTCAGTGGTGCCCTGCTTCTCATCATATCGCGGTGTTGTATCCTGAGCCTCGAGGGCTTCTTGTTTAGGATGGATTTCCGACATGGTGAGATGCTTAGATAAACTTCAATGTCTTGAGAGTCAAAGGATCGAGGGAATCAGAGACAGCGCGGGCTGATGGTAGATATATACGATGGGCTACTCGTGCCAAAAGTGGCAACACGGGGGAACCATCCCTCACACGGACCTAAATGAAAAGCGGAAGGTGGTTTCTTGGAAGGATGCAGAGAGAGATAGGTACCTAGGAAGGGTACGTAACATGGAGCATTGATTTGATTGTTGGTTTCACTGTTCGAATTGCTGTGGTGATCCGTTTCTTGAGACTGGGGGCTGCTCCTCTATCTCACGGATAAAGCGGCACTTTGCTCAGCTGGGGCAAAAGAAGTGGACACTCGAATGAACCAAAGCTTAAGCCACCAAAAAAAGGAGCAGGGGGGGAGGGGAAGGGAAGAGAGGGAAACTAGCCTATCAGCCGTTTAGTCGCGTGCTGACGTAGAGAAAAGAGTGCTACTGAGCGGAAGTTTTAGAGCTGAGGTTAGGCTGTGGCTTGATCTTGTGCATCCTCGGCTCCGAAGATATCGTCGTCGATTTCACTACAACTCCAACTCCAACGACGCATGTTTTATCTTGTGTTACATGTGAATGTTCTGCAGTCTGGATAAAGTGCGCAAAAAGGCTCCTCCCAAGTCTGGGGAAAGTGGCATCTTTGAGGAATCTATTTGTCATAGATTCAAGTCCTACCCCGGAATATCTCTGCTGGATCTGCGTGCGTGTGAAATTGAGCAGTTGGCAGCAAATGGCGTAGCACCTGTATCATTGGGGCGCGCCCGGAGCCGAGCTAGCCGGAAGGCCTCTTATCAAGCCGCCGATCCCGAGGCTAACATACGATGAGCAGTGGCTGTAGCTGGTCTAATTGGGCAGAGACAGTTGGTTTTATCTGACTGGAGTCTGGAGAAGGGATATAAACGGGTCTTGCTGTGGTAGGACCGACTTTGAGTTGTGTCATGGGAGGAGGAATGGGATGCAGTCATTGATAGAGTTTGGGTACTGATCCTCGCTCAAATCTTAGGTGAGAAATACGCACGGATAGATGGTCTGTAACGAAAGGACATGCCAGGGTTTAATTGTGGTGGTGATTATTTCAAGCACATCTTCAATTACCGTCAGTATCAATGAAGTTGAAGATATTGGAGATATTCCCAATTAAATCCGTGCTTGATTTCTTGGCAGGGCGGTAGAAGCCTCTGACAGCTTGGCACCCGTGATGTTCATCTTGGCATTTGACAGGACAAGCATTATCTGGGGAAATCCACGACGCGTAAGGTATCTACGATCAAAGAGGAAGCTGTTACATAAAAACAACATCTTTAGCCTTTGGCATTTGATTTGACCTCCCGTTTTAAGGGTTCCAAAAGCTAATTCCAATTAAACTCATCGCGAGCATCTCCACGGATGGTCTCGTGTCATAAACTACCCTAAGTGAGTGGTTTGCAGCGCTAATCTTACTGCACTCAGGGAACTACCCCAGTGAACAAACTCCACTGTGTCGTTTCCTGATCTTCATCCTCAAAACGATCAGCGGAATTCATCGCTCATCGAATCTAAACGATGATAAGGATTATTTTAAACAAGCTCCATCAAACGGCAGAATGACGCAAAGGACAAGCCTTGTTTGCGTTTGGCTTGCATTAGTTGCAACCCATTCCTTACCATCGCGTGCACGATTCAGCAACGGCGAAACAAGATTCCACTGAATGACGTAGGCGATTCAACTGTCAGGCCCACATAAAACACTAACAGATAACGTCTCATCGCCACTTTGATAAGCTCATATCTGCTATAGCACAAACAACTCGCAGGCGAGTGTTCCGCGGCCGCGGAATCCATATCGACCAAGCATTATTGGATGTCACTGATGCCATGTACAGTCATCAATAGCTTAATCACAATGTTTATCTGAACGTGTTGGTCGTCATCTCGTGCTCATTGTATAATTTCTACCAATGCTTCACTCTTCTGCTACGACCCTTAGAACAGCTTTCTCTGCCGATAGCTTCCCTTCTCTGCTCAACTGAAAGGCTTCAGTAACGTTATCCAGAGTTCCAACCTCCCTCACAGGGTTTGTTTCAAGATCGCCTTGCTCTAGCATCTTCGTTACTAGTCGTAGGTACTTTTCCCAAGCACATTTCTCGGCTGGTGTCTCGGGGCCTGTATTATCAAACACGGTGTATTCGTCACCCAACGCCCTGCCAAAGACAGTAAAAGCGAGCATGGACTCGGCATTGACATATGGATTGACAGTGTGAAGAGACTCTTTGTCGAGTGGCGATAGAGCAATCAGCTTAGATCCTGCGCTGTGAGCCAGGCAGCGGGCCACTTTCTCTGGAGAACCTCCATCTGCAATGTTATCGAGGGCATATCTCAATTTCCCTCCAGTAATCTCTTTGACACGTTCAACCCAATCTTCATCGTGGTAGTCGACCGTGACCTCGGCACCCAGCCGTTTGAGGAGGTCACGGTTCTTGGACGAGCCCACTGCAATGACACGAAGACCACTAAGCTTGCCAAGTTGAAGAGCGTACAGGCCAACACTCGTGGAAGCACCATACACCAAAAAGTCCACTCGGTCTTCTTTAGACTGGTAGGGCTCAGGTAACGACAAGTGTTGATACATAGCTTGCGTTGCCGTAGCAAAAGCAAGTGAGATAGTCGATGCCTGCTGCAAGCTGATGTTGTCGGGCACGGCAAAGACGAGTGATGCCTCGATGTTCATGTACTCTGCAAAAGATCCGATGCCTTCGAAGGTTGCGCCATGGACCCAGCCGCCAACTCTCTGGCCTTTCTTCCAGTCAGAGCCGTTGGGGTCTTCGACGGTGCCGGCGAAGTCACAGCCTGCAATGAGACCCGGCTGTGCTGGTCCATCCAACACATCGCCTTCAACGAGTTTCCAATCACCAGGGTTAAGAGCCGCGTAGTGAATCTTGACAAGAATTTCTCCTTCTCGCGGGCTTGGACGAGGAACCGACTGGACAGACCCGCTTCCTTTGCCATCCGTAACGAAAGCTCGCATTCTAGTCATCTCGTCTACTGTCGAAGGATTCTCTCGAATCCCAGATGCCGTTGAGCGGGTGAGCTAATGATTCGTCGTGGTACGACTTATAAGACCATTGTTATCCGAGTCTCAATCGAGGCGAATTGATAAGCAAATCTGAGAAGCAACGTTATGGATCGAACTATTCCTCTTTCCTTTCTGCTAGCTCTTGCATCGCGACCTATCATGTCCGTTGGGATGTTCCAGAAACGGCAGCTGGGATCACTATCCTTGTCAGCCAAGACAGCTCACGGAAAGACTCAATGCCGACTTACAAATAACACAAACTAATAGCAGATTCACCGAGAACAAAGTGATATAGTTGTAAAACATGATTCATTAACATCTAGTAAAAATCATCGCTCATTATGCAAGAGTGAGCTGCCTATTAAGACTTTTCCCATAACATGACTTCTCCGCCATCTAGGAATTCCAGCATCACAAACCCTCTTCCCAATCGCAGAAACAACTATGAAATACCCAGAACAAAGGAGATCGTAAAATTCATAATCTACAGACGAGCGGAGAAGCTGGCCTGCGAGGTCTGGCCATATGCGCTCTTCTCGGGCTGGTAAAAGGGTAGAGATGTGACGGTAGCCTTGATTCGCTTACCGAAGTACTCAATCTCTACCTTGTCGCCCTCGAGGACTTCCTTGGGTAGGTATGCGTAGGCGATGGGCTTGCGGATGCTGTAGCCGAATGCTGCGCTTGTCACGTAGCCAACGGCACGACCCTTGACAAACACTGGCTCCTTGCCGAGAATGACGGAGCGCCCATCGTCGATGGTGAGACCGCGAATGCGGCGAGACACCTTCTCGCTCGATCGACCCTTGAGAGCATTGTAGCCGACATAGCCATCCTTGCCAGGCTGAAGAGCGAACTCAAGTCCAGCCTCGTAGGGATCATACTCAGAGGTCATATCGGTGCCCCAAGATCGGAAACCCTTTTCGATACGGAGAGCGTTAAAGGTACTGCGACCAGCAGCGATGACTCCGTAAGGCTGGCCACCTTGCCAGAGAGCATCCCAGAGTCGCAGACCGTTGTCAGCTGTTGTGTAGATTTCCCAGCCCTCTTCACCGATGTATGAGAAGTTGGTAGCAATGACGGGAATGCCAGAGATCTCGGCCTTCTTGACGGAAAGGTAAGGGAGGGCTCGGTCTGAGAAGTCGTCCTTGCTGACCAGCTTGATGAGATCCTTGGAGCGAGGACCCCAGACGCCAACGGCGGCGAGACCACCGGTGATGTCGCGGACCTGGACTGCTCGGTGAGGGCTGGCCTTGGTCTGAACCTTGGCCTCGCGGGTGAAGTAGTGAAGATCGACGGGACCGTTGACACCGAGATGGAAGAGATCCTCTCCGAGTCTAGCGACGAAGATGTCACTCTTGACGCCGCCATGGGTATCCAAGAGCAGGGTGAATGTCACCTTGCCAACCTTTCCAGCAACGTTACCCGTCGTCAATCGCTGCAGTAGCTCAGCAGCACCGGGGCCAGTGATCTCCAATCTTCGAATAGGAGTCTGATCGTATAAAGCAACAGCAGTTCTCGTTTTCCAGGCCTCAGCCGCCGAAACAGCAGAGTAGTATCGAGACGACCATGCATCTCGCTCAACGGGCTTCCATGCCTCAGGCAAGTCCTTGAGAAGCTTCTCGTTGGCTGCGAAGTGGTGAGGGCGTTCCCAACCACCAGCCTCGAGGAAGTAGGCACCAAGCTCTTGCTGGCGCTGGTGGAAGGGGCTGACGCGGAGGTTACGGGGTGACTCCTTGGGCTGAAGAGGGTGAAGGATGTCGTAGACTTCGACGAACTGTTGAGATGTTGTTTCGGCGACGTAGGCGGGTGAAAGCTGAACTTGCTCAAAGCGGGAGATGTCGCACTCGGAGAGGTCAATCTCAGATCGGCCCGTGGTGAGAAGCTCAGCAAGTGCCTTGCCGACACCGGCGGATTGTGTGACCCAAACAGCTTCGGCGACGTAGAAGTTGTCAAAGTTAGGGGCCTGGCCGACGAGAGGACCACCGTCAGGGGTGAAAGACATGATACCGTTGAAGCCGTGGTCGATCTCGGTTTCTCGGAGAGCAGGAAGGATCTCCTTCGACAACTCCCAGCCTGGTGCGAAGTCCTTGGGCGTGAACTGGAGGCTGGATGGCATGTTTCTGGAATCGACGTTCTTGGGGGTCTCGCCAAGCGAGGCTGCAACAACGGGCATTGGGCGATGGCCGTAAAATCCAATACCGATGTGATCACCGTGCTCACGGTAGTAAAGATCCTGATCCTGGTGACGGAGGATAGGTAGTTTGGCACCGTTAGGCTCCTCATTCTTGCCCTTCTGGCAAGGAACTGACTTTGTGTGCACGTATTGGTGAGCCATCGGTGTCAGAGGAACTGGTAAGCCAACCATGGCTCCAATCTCTACACCCCAGAATCCAGCGCATGAGATGACGATATCAGCCTCGAAAGTTCCATTCTTTGTGACAACGGCTGAGACGTGGCCGTCGTGGTGGTCGATGGATGTGACCACTGTAGACCCGTGATACTTGACACCAGCTGCTCGTGTTCGCTCAATAAGCTTCGCTTGAGCAGGACGAGCCAGTGCAAGGCCATCAGTAGGAATGTGAAGTCCACCAAGTACCTTGCTCTTATCCAGCAAGGGGTACAACTCAAGACACTTCTCAGGGCTGATGAGATTCGCCTCTATGCCCCAAGAGTAAGCATATCCCCTTTTTCGCTTGAGCTCCTCCAGTCGTGCAGGAGTAGTAGCGATTTCCAAACCACCGACTTGGTTGAAACAGTCTAGTGATAGTAGCTTCTCAACTGTGTATGTAGCCATCTTGCTGAGAGTCTTTGATGTGTTTGTCTGGAATACAAGACCAGGGGCGTGAGAGGTTGAGCCACCAGGCATGTCCAGAGGTCCCTGATCAAGGACGGTGATGTCGGTCCAGCCGCGAGAGACCAGCTCATCAGCAACATTGACGCCGACGATGCCAGCGCCAATGATGAGTACCCGCGGTGAGGGTGCCATTTCTGCGATTATGTGATGTAGGTAAAGGGACGAGATGGAAAAGGAGAAGAGATGAGAATGGTTTCCAACACAGAAGCTTCTATTGGCAAAGATCAAAGGTTCTAGTCGAAATATATCTTTCTATCAGCAATCTACGACTCCGCACTCCTCCTCACTGAGATCATCCTCAAAAGTAGCTTGTCACTATGTCATGGTTACGATAAGAGCAACTAACATGAGAACCTCCGGTTGCGGGAGCGCTCACGTGATCGGTTTCGAGAGGCGGCGCCGTTCAAAGGTGGAGGGCGTGTGTTTATGGTGTTGTGTTTTCCGGGCCTGGCATGCGGGGGAGCAGAGATAACGGGACGAGTCTAGATCTATTTTGGTCTTGGACCGGGCATCAAGTGCCGGTCGACCCCGTGCTGTGAATGATAGGACGCGTGATAACGAAACGAGATAGAGAATAGTTTCGACGCGCGATTTCGGATCTTGCAGGCGAGGAACGGCCACTATCCAAGCGTCAGAGACCCATGCTTCACGGAAAAGGTTAAACAGTTAGACGCCGCTCGGTTGGGGTTGCATGAGGTTTTGCCATGGGAGGGGGGATGGCAATCAGCTGGGCTGCCACGGACTTGTCATAGCGAAGAGGAAAGGCTATTTTTACCCTTGCAAGTACGGTAAAAGCAAAGCAAAAACACCCCGAGAATTTTGGTCATGGGACCCTTTGCGGGAGAGTCACATTTCACGATGCCTTCATTTCGCGAGGGGGTCTTGGTGTCTCGCTTGTGCAATCTCGTGGCATTGAGACCCCCTCCCTGCTATGTTTCTACACCAATTGAAAGCGACACGAAGCGCACTCGTTATCGTCGAGCTGTCATCGGTAGTCATTCTTACCGCTCATTTCAATGAGTGGCATTTGGTGTTGTTACCTTTGTGACTCTTCCCCTCCCTCGATAGGCTCTTCGTGCCGTATTTCCTCAAGATTAACCCAATTGAGGCGACACCAATTGAGTTCACGATGGTCAAGGGCGGGGAAATAACCGGTAATAACAGCAACAAACCTTTCCAAAAGGTTGTCCGACGAAGCCAATCATCTTCACAGTCAGAAAAGCTTGGCTTATTTGGTTGCCAGGCACGTTGAATCGCATGATGCCCCATTGGCCTACCAAAATTCCCACTCCAGAGATGGTGTTGACCCTGGAATTCCGGCCTCCCTCTGCAGCCGATGGGACCGAGTTGACCTTGACCTATGAATGAAGACCACATTTGCCAAAGGATACGAATATCCAACCGCCATGTCGTGGCATGCCCAAGTGGAGCGGTGAAACGAAACTCGACTCAGGTGAGGGTTTCTGATGTGCATTACCCCATGAAGCTAAACTCAACACCAAAAATTGTGCATCGCCAGATGAAAATCTAGACTGTCCGGCTGACCCGCCTCGCCTCTCCCAATATCGCCAAATTAGCCTCTCAGTCTGTCCCCCGCGTCAGAGCCCTGAAATATACCCCGACTTCCCCGGTTTACCCCAGGTTGTGTAGACGCCCGGTTTCATCGTATGGAGACGTGTTGACACATAGAAATACTGAACCCGCGGGAGGAGACTTTTGCTTCTCTTTAAACCAAAAAGCACGGTCCCCACCCTCGACACTTTCTCATCCACTCAGTCTCTCACCTTGGCTAGGGAGGGACACACTGTGCATATCTAGCGTCTTCTCCATCTCCGGAAACCTTCTCTCCCCCGCATTTTCAACTTTTGCTTCGGTGTCTTCCCCAGAATATCTGCCCGGTTTCGGCTACCCCGGACCCCCAAATCGAGACGCTCATCGGAGAGCAGGGGACAAGCCGCCGAGGAGTTTTAGCTCCGCAATCAACACTGACGGGGCTTGGAGATGGATGATGCGCGGCTTCTGTCATTGTGGAGAGAAGACCTGCAACATCGCCCTGTTTTTGTTTGCTCTGTATCCGGAGATTTGGAGAGAAATGATTCGGGAGACAATGCACCGTTGATCTAAAACAGGGAATGACAAGTCTCGTTATGCATGGAATGACGGGAGAAGGTAATACGCCCAGTCTTCTAGACGTCTCAATTAAGCAAGAGAATATTCTATCTCTGCTGCAGATCTCCACTACCCTAGCCTTTTTGTCCATACCCAAGATCCATTTACCATACTCCTAAAAGTGATTAAACATGATATTACTAAAATTTTCACCTTCCCACCATGCAGGCCCTCGGCTCTCGCTCAGGGCAGGTTGGGGGTCATCGCAGCCCATGTCGGCAATGTTGACGAACTGCGACGAGTCCGCGTAGAGCCATGGCGTAGTGCATAGCGTCAAGTTATCGTCCACCGGTACCTCATCGTAGACAGTGTCGCGCGCAGAGTCTGGACCCTGCGACGAGAGCGGGGCTTTGTAAGATAGCGTTGGCGCTTCTTGGCCGCCGTCTGCAGTGTTGATTGTGATCTCGGGTGCGCTGGCGACGATGATCTCCAGCGTGATGTTCTCATTTGCATCCTCGTTTGTGGGGTTTGGGACAAGGGATTGGTTGAGAAGACCAGCTGTCGGGAGCTCGTGAGAGTCTGCAAAGGTGTTGAACTGGAGAATCTTCCACATGAGAGGGACGCTGAGGTAGATCTTTGAGGGCATCCAGTCTTCAACATCCATGCTATCAGATGTACCTGCAGCGATGCGCGTCATCTTGTCAAGATTGCGGTCCTGTCAATTGTTAGCGCAAGTTCATGCGACACTCAGAAAATACATACCAATGCTCTGCAAGCTGCTGAAGTGGGCAGAAAGTTCTTCAAAAACCGCCTGCACTTGGCAAAATCCGTGTTGGACTTGTGCTTCAATCGCGCCGCAGCAGCGCAGCAGTAGTACAGGTGCACCGTCGCCGCAATGGCAGCGACATGGCCGAAGAAAGGATCTGCAAGCGGTACTTGCTTATCGACGACCATGTCGATCATGCGAACGATCCAGGTGGAATGCAGAAGTGCCAATTCTGACGATCGCCTCCAAAAAGTGTTCGGGATGGCGAGGTTGGGGTTGTGCTGCGCTCCCACGATGTACAAGAAAGGATGGTTCAATACCGTCGGAATGACGTGGTATGTAAATTGCTCCTTCAACCACGGCGCCCAGTAATCACGATGCATCTTCAAGTCTTCGACCTTGCGCTCGTAAAACTTGACTGTGTCATAGCGATGGCACATGGGTATCCTGTTCTCGGTCTCCATAAAGTCGGCGAGAACTTTGGCGTACATCGAGTCATGTCGCCAAGGCTCCTTGATGTTGTTGTGTGCGCAATCGGAAACGTACTTTCGTACTTGACTCCAGACCCAGCCAAGATGAACGCTGGTATTCCAGATACCAGGCTCGTTCTGGTGTTGACAACCGAGATCATCTCTGGGGAGAGTCGGCGCTCTTGGGTCGTGATCTGGCATTGGGCCTCGAGTAGTGGAATAGGCCGGGCGCCAGATCTCTGTTGGTACGCTCAAAAGACCTTCTTGTCGACCGTAAGATTGCTCAAGCATCTGTAGACTCCAGAATAGCCTCTTCTTGCGGTCCGACATGGGATCTTCCATGCCGTAAACAGACTCGACGTCCAGCATCGCAGAGCGACATAGTTGATGCGCAAGACCGAGGTGGAATTGGCCAAGGTGGACATTTCCGTCTACAAATATTAGTCTGTGTGTCGCGACAATAAAACCAACAGAAACATACCAATAAAAGAGGAGTAGGAGAGAAGACAGAGACTCTCAAGCGTCGCAAGATCCACAGTCCCATTTGCGATCCTGAGCATGATGAGACTCTTCGCATTGTTGGCGTACAACTTTGCCTGATCCCCATTCTCAGAGAACCGCAACGTCAAGGCAAGAATGCTGCAAGCAAGCTCATCATGCATAGACCCAAAGTCTCTAACCTCGTCGCGCTCAAAACACCATATTGGCTGTCGGTGGCAGTACTCAAAGTACAGCGCAATACCAACAGCGATATCGGAATGGCTCGGTCGCAGAGACGAGTTCTCGGATTCGGACTTTACTGAGGGATGGCTTGTAGGGTAGCTATGCTCGCGCGTGTTTCGCACGCCAGAGTATGACTTTTCGGAGGTGTCTGTTGTTTCTTCGAGCGCTGAATCAAGCTGTTGCTGTTGGTGATGGTTTTGCTGGTGGTGCTGGTTCTGTTTTTGTTGTGACGTAGGCCTGCAAACGCCCCAAAAGTTAGAACCCCTCCCACTGTAAGTAAGCGTCAGAGACAGGAAAGAACTTACAAGCTTCCGTTCAGCAAAAAGTCAAGCTTCTCCTCCAGATGGGCCAATCTCTCCTCCTAATTAAAATCGTCAAGTTATGTTTTTTTTTTGCGTGTGCAAAACCCCATGCACAACGTACCGAAGGACCGCTCTGAGAGGGCCTGATTGCCGGGGGATAAGAGCACGACTGTTTGAGGCGGACGCAGCTGGAGCATGCTGGCTTCTCGCCTGGGCAACGGGTCTTCTTTCGTCTGGGTTTCTCAAATCAGTACAGCTGTGATAGACGCGACATCGCAGTGTGTGTTTGCCAACCTGCAAGTCAGACAGGCGTGGTGAGAGCGTCGTCTGCCGCGGGTGCTCGTGGGAGGGTTATTATTGTTGCTGCTGGTGTTGTTGTTCTCCTCAGTGGGTGACATTGAAGACCTCGACATTTTGAAGGTATTATCATTTAAGACAAGGAAGAGAGAAGAGGGAAGGGGAGGGAGGGAATGTCCCAACGAGGAGGATAATAATGAATAAAAAAAAGTTGATGGCGTAGGAGTTGGTGAACCTTGTTTCACTCGCTGTAAAGGGGCCCGCTTCCACTAAATACCTTACCCTTGGACCTCTGGGACTTTTTGGCGTCTGCTCTGCTGTAGGATACAGTGCAGTTTGGGGTGGCTTACAGTTACTGTTGCAAACCCCGCACTGCCTACTGGTTAAACGGGCTGCGTGCGTGCGTTAGAATAACTCTTACTCATGGCCCTTGCGCTGCGCTGCTGATAACGCGGGGTTTGGTACGAAGTAGAAAAGCTTAGTGGGTTGTCCAGGGATTGGATGGAATGGCTAAGGCTAATGCGAAGTGCCTGAAGAGAACAAGGGGGCGTGGATAGTGTGACTCCCGGTCAGAGATGAGGCCCACTGAAAGGGAAACGCAGCGCCCATCCCAGCATCCGTTGCAACAACAGCACAGCACGCACAGCACAGCACAGCGTGGGATAACTTGCCATCACGGCGTGTTTGGTCTGGTGATGTGAACACTACTACACTGTATCTATCGAGTTATTCCTCAAAGCAGACAAGGTGAAAACTCTTCACCGTAGAATTCCCTATCTCCAACCATTCGGTCATACCGCTCGTTATCTTCCCACTGCCGACACAAACTTTCCACGTCCCCTGCACCCACCTTCTATCAGAGCTTCCAGAAATAACTATCTCTGCCTTCACCGAGACACACCTCGTCTGGTCCCCCGCCTCGCTCCGACAAACGGAGATCTGTCGGGGAGAGATAACGCGCTGTGGATCAATGATCACCTAACTAGCCAAGGGTGCTAGATAAGAGTGAGTGGAGGTGAGGAGAAGCCCAAGATACGCAAATCTCCATCTCTACGTAACTTACTCCGACAACGCAGTTTAAACATTGCTTGGCTGAGGACATTCTGCTTGGCAAAGGCGATCACGGATGACTTTGGCCATGTCATGGTAGTAACAAGAATCTCAATTCGTTCATTATGCTCGTAATTATGCCCTTCAACGCCCAATCATGTCTCCCTTAATCCCTGGCTCGTCTCCCCCGCAGTTATTCCCCTCAGAGGATGCTACCCTCTCTTCTGTTTATTCCCTGATCTTCCATCCATCCTTCTTTACATGCTTCTTATGTATTGCTACCTCGATTCTACAGTCTAGCAGCGGGATCCAACAAGTCCCTCATCTCTGAGTTGGGGAACTCGCAGTTGAGAGCTGCATCGGGCCGCTCCCTGTCCCAAGCCCACTTCTCCTTGAGCTCAGGCTCGAGCTTGTCCTCGAGCATCTGCACCACGTACTTGCCTAGCACAGGGAAGAACTTGTATCCGTGAAACGAGCCGCATGTCGCGACGTACAGACCCTTGGCACCTGCGTGCGGAGAGATGATGAAATCTCCACTAGATGTGAATGCGTCCCTGTAACATTCGGTGTCAGTCGGTCTTTTCTCGTCGTCATGGTGGGGGTTTACATACCAGCAGATGCGGTGCTTCTCGTACTTCCAGTGCGCACCCTTGCTTCCGAAGAACAGGCGGTTGGCGTTGTCAATGTCTTCCTTCAGTGAGTTGGGGACCTTCCATTGGGCGTAGTCCTTCTCATCTGGTGGTGCGGAGACGACACGGCCAGGGAGGACTGCGCGGTGGTTGCTGAAGATGTTGCGACCCCACCATTTGATCTCACGATCCTTGGTAGGTGGCAGACTGCCAATGAAGGGAGAGTCTGTAGCTAGCGTTAGTTGGTGTTCTAGAAGGCGTACGTCACCCGGGTATAAACTCACTGTGTCTGTAGGTATATCCTTGGAAGCCAACGGGCATGTCCTTCATCTTGGCGAAAGACTGGTCATCAAGCGTGACCATGCCGGTAGTGATGCCAGCAGCTGTGATGCGATCACCGGATCGGAGATCAGGCAGGTTGTGGCGTGCAGCGCTGTATTCCAGAAGCTTGGCTGTGTATGCTCCGGTAGACAGGATAACTGTGTCGGCCGAGATGACCTCGCCCTTGGCCGTTTGGATGCCTGTGGCGCGGCCATTCTCAATCTGCACCGTAGCCACATCTGCAACAATGTACTTGACACCCAGCTTCATAGCCTCGCGCGTCACAGCGCGCAGAGAGTCGCCTGCAGCTCCCCAGCCACTGTTTCTGTTGACAAGGACCTCCTTGGCACCGGTGTAGTCAGCCTCCTCGTATAGACCGCCATACAACTTCTTAGCCTCCTCTATGGTGTAGACTTGGATGTCCGAAGCACGGCCGAGCTTCTTGTAGTTGTTGATGACATCCTGAGCGTAGTCGCTGCGACACACCCAGAAAACACCAGCCTTGTGAAAGTGAGGCATCCAGAGAGGATCAGACTCGAAGATATCTTGCGCCTCAAGAGCGAGGCGGCAGTAGAGGAGATCATCATAGTCTGCGCGAACAACCTTGTTCCAGTCCCAAGATGCAGCTACACGGTTGTCGCCGTCGTAGGGATCTCTGTCGACAATCGTGACAGAAGCATTGGGGTACTTCTGGATGAGCTGGTAGGCTGTTGAGACGCCAAAGACACCGGCTCCCACGATAAGGTATGATGAAGAGGCCATTGTAAGCGGTGCAATGCTATTGGCAGACAGGTATGGTGAGAATCGGTCTGTCAATTGACCTGTAACAGTAATAGAGATGATGTATAACCACCAAGTGAATTGATCGTGTATTTCACGCCGTCTACTGGGCCTTTTATCACCCCGCCTTGGAGACAGTGCCGGTCTCGGTAGCCACCGTATTCCGGACGTCTCTCACCAAAAGTCATTTTCCGGGTCAGATCTGGAATTCCGGAGCTGAGAGCCGGAGTCCGGGTATGGGGTAAAGAGAAACCCGATCACGTGAGGCTTGCTATCTTGAAGTTATTTTGGGTATCATCGTGAAGTCGTGATAACCTCAAGTCAGAGACGAGTATGGTACGATGGTCAGTATCTGACTTGATGAAATGAATATCACTGAGAACCATTTTTGAGGATGCCTTCACATCTGCATTGACCAACTACGTGTCTAGTCTCCCTTCTCATCTCCTCCTCCGCCATTTTGGTGACCTTTGTTCACAAATCACCAGACCAACACCATCCCATCCATTCCAACCATCCTCTTATCCCACAATCAGCTGGCCTACCCTCACCTCACCTCACCATGAGGTTATCCACGCCTATATCCAGCCTTCCTATCCCTTCATGTACGAGTTGCAAGCCAAATCCCGTAATAGGAAAAGCCTTATCTCCATATTTTGGGTTCTCCCCCGCACTGCGACTCGGTACCCACGGCTCATGGAGATCATTGATATCATTAGCTGACTCTTGTTTCTCCGCACGCAGAGATAACGCGTAACCCTAACATTGTTTCGGGCCTAGCTTCATGCACAATTTGCACTCGGCCAACCTCAATCGGCATCGAACCAAGACAAGGGAAGGGGCTGGTCACTGCTTCAGATGCGAAGGAAAACAGATTCACCCTAATTGGGCCTCCAAGACTTATCTCGCCCTCTCCCAATGCCTCACACCATCTTTAGCTCGGTTGGTCCGTAGCGAAGTGAGGCTAGTAATCTGTCAAGATACCGCTGCGAGTCTTGCTTATCTTGATGCAGTTTGGTCCACTTCCCCATGCACAATGCATAAAGCCCATCCATGGTGGTCTCGACGTTTTTGCTGGCGTGGCAATGCGACGGATGGATAGAGAATGCCGGCACTCGTCATCCCTACCCCAGAAGTGATGAAGCCAGATGGAGGCCCAGGCACCAACACATGGCCAATGCTACTCTGCCTCGCGTCGCTAGTCCTTTCTTATCCTATCATTTGACCATCGAGATATCAGGGGATAGAGGCCATCGTGATGTGACACAACGCCCGGTCGTGGATACCGTCTTTGTGATATCTACAACCCCGGAGTGGCGCGACCGTGCTATACCAACACATCCCCCACGTGTATCATCAATGCCTTCGAGAAGCTGTCGTGATCATGCAACATGCTAAAAATGTGTAAATCCTGCCGATTTCGGTCTATTTCAGGATCTCGGCGTTATCAGGAATCCATCATCGGCGGCTAACGGCAGATCTCCAAGTGACGCGTTGAAACAAGCAAAGATGTTCCAAAACTTGTTCTATGTCAAGCGCTTCGCTCACTTCCTTGTGTTTTCTAGTGGGTTTCTGTTCACTTACGTAGATAGGAAGGAGAGCAACATGGCGTCGATATCTAGATCGACATGTTCATTGTAGGGTAAGAGTTGACGATGATCACGATGAGGCTCATCTCGCTTACACTATCCGTGCCTGAGCTTATCATTGTCCATCAAGCATATTGTTGTCGAAGAGGTTCAGGGTAGTTTCTGAACATTGCTTTCAACATCTCGCTCCCCCGTTGACCGGTATGAGTTGTAATGTATGGATTTCTTCGTATGGCGTTTGTGATAAGTGATACACGCTTTTGAAATGTACAATAGCCGGAATTGCTTTACTAGTCACACTCGAGGCTTATGAAGTTCTCTCGAGATGCTGAAAGGAAGAAGAAAGTGTTGAGTGACAGACAGGAAGCCAAGTGGTATATACAACAAGTTTCAATTCATATCCTTGAGAAGTTATTGGCCCAGCATGACATCTCTTTCCATCGCTTCATAACATACGATTCTTCCAGTGCTCTCGTACGATATTGTCATCAATCCTGTCTTGTGAGAAGACGATACTGCCAAGTTTGAGATGATCCGGGCCTTGTTGTTGACAATCTTCAAGCCAGAACGAGCAACTATTCAGAGAGCATCTCGCAACTTGAACGATTCTGATGTCACTTATCCTTAGAAAACGAATGATTCTGGACTCATTTCCCATTGTTACTCATACGATCTAATCTACGTTTTTTCTGCTCATTTGAAGGCTCATGGCTCGCTGTTTATGTATTAAAATTCACATTCCCACGGGAATGGTAAAGTCACGATGGTCAATTTTACCATTGTCACTCATTTTCCCACCCAAAAAGTGCTCTCATTGATAGCGCCGCGCTTCATCATGAACTATTGAGTGAAGAAGAGCAAGATCAAGCGGAAAAATCTCATTTCGTCTGGGGCTGCCCTTACTCCCCGTGGGGAGAATCAACCAGCGACCCCATACACGAGCCATCGGTTGACCTTACCACGAAATATTTTCCGTGATGGAGTTTTGAGTCCATTATTTTCTGGAGTCGGGGTCCAGGCCTAGATCTATCATCTTGGGTTAGCTTAACGATACGACTTAAACCGTTTAGCCATGCCCTGCCGTACCCCGGACTCGCCGGCACAGACCAACTCCAGCTCTTTACAACTCTCGCCTAAACTTGCTTCACCTTGGGAATAATCCCTCTCTAGTTGAAGACTAGGCGAGTCGTTATCGATTTTCTGCGGTCATGTATCAACAATTGCAATCAATCGGTCTCCGCTGTCTCCATTTTGATTATTGACAATAATAATGCGTTACAGCGATTGAGGATGTTGTTACGAAATCGCTGTGTCCGTATGACCATTCAGGCGGTCACTGCTCCGGCATTTGAATTCCATCAGGAACAAGCAATGGAGACATCAATGTTTCGTCACCTCCGATCATGTGCTCGGGTGCACTTAGACCGAATTCTGTTTCAGCCTTGTCCAGCGCTTCTGGAAATCTGAGAAAGCAGCAACTTGAACCGAAATACCAAAAATGATCAATCTCGAAGCTCCGATAAGGAACTGCCGGTTTCTAGAAATTCATGATCTTCAACGCGAAGTCCTTCCTCCGTGTCTGGGCATCTGCAGGTCCGGAACGGTCTAATTGCAACATCACCAAGACACGGATGTTGGTTTGCTTTGACGTGGGGGAACACAATACACCTCGCCGTGGCGTAGACAACAGCAAGACCCCTAATCGAGAAGTTGACGCGCAAGACTAACACCAACTAGGAGGCCGTCATCTATGACTCTTGGAGGGACTAATTGAGGCCGGACATGGCTTGTCAAGGGGGGTGAATGTTGCTAGCCGGGCCCCAAAGATAGCCTGTCCGATCATGTGACCGGTCGTCGACACCGGAACAGAGGGCCACCTGATTGCAAGCAACAACTCAATCTATCGAGATGAGACGGTATCAGGTATCAGGTGGCAAGGGGGTGGTTTCAATGTTGGCGATAGAGTATGGACACGCCCTGATTAGCTTCAGATGTGCCAGATGCACCAGATGCAAAAGAAGTATTTAGAAGACGTCTAGATCCAACCTCAATCGAATTATCATCATCATCAACAAACAGTACTCTACCATTCCAACCAACGAGACTTTTATATAAGACTTCGAGTCCTTATCTCTTGTCTTCACATCTTCACTCTTCATCAAGATATCCAACACTTCCTCCTCCTCTTCTTCTCTCTCACACACAATCACATCCACAATGGCCCAGTCATTCTTGAAACGATACTTTGGCCTCGGCGGCTCTTCCACTCCCGCTGCCAGCCCTGTCACTGAGAAGAGCGCCGTTCGTGCTCTTCCCGCTTCATGGTACACCTCAGTCGAGATGTACGAGCTCGAGAAGCGCGCCATCTTCTCCAAGAAGTGGCTCCTCACCACTCACAAGGCCAGAGTCCCCAATGCTGGTGACTGGCTCAAGTATGAGATGGCCAACTTCGAGTTTGTCATTGCCAGAGACGAGGATGGTAACATCAACGCTTTCCACAACATCACCCGCTTCGGTACCTTCCCCATCGTCGCTCCCGAGCAGGGTGACCACGGTGATGCCAACACTGGCTTTGACCAGAAGCAGAATGGTCTTCTCCCCATCCACGTCAAGGTTGACGCTCGTGGCTTCATCTGGATCAACATGGACGGCGCTAAGACCCCTGAGGTCGCCTGGGAGGATGACTTCGACAACCTTGACACACATGAGCGCTTCTCTTACTACAACTTTGACGACTACAACTTCGATCACGTCTGGCAGATGGAGGGCGACTACAACTGGAAGATCCTTGCCGACAACTACAACGAGTGCTACCACTGCAAGGTCGCTCACCCTGACATTCCCACCATCGCCGACCTCAACTCTTACTGGGTCGAGACACAGAAGTCTTACATCCAGCACTTCGGTGCCCAGCGACAGGACCAGATTGACCGCGGATTCCGCATCGCTGTCACATATTACCTCCCCAATGCCTCCACCAACATCTCTCCTCACTTCTTCATGATCCAGCGCTTCGTTCCTCTCAGCCCTTCCCGCTCCATTATGCGATACGAGTTCTTCCGCAACAAGAACTCCAGCGACGAGGACTTCAACCTCATCACTGAGCTCTACAAGCGTGTCATGTCCGAGGACAAGTACCTCTGCGCCAACGCCCAGAAGAACGTCAACGCTGGTGTTTTCATCAACGGTGAGATGCACCCCGAGATGGAGCAGGGTCCTCTCTTCTTCCAGCAGAGCATCCGAGAGCAGCTCCAGAACCACCACAAGAAGGAGCAAGAGGTCGGCCACGAGATCTGGCCCGCTCAGCAGGAGGCTCCCCAGACCACCATCAACACCAAGGCTACAAGCTCCGCCAACTACTCATCGGGCATCGACATCCGGCCTGCGCACAAGGCCATTGTTGTTTAGACTTGGGAATGACTTACTGATTGATTTGGATTACATGGGAGGATTTACAAGATAAAAGCGAGTTTTGCTCTTTTACACAAGATTGCATTGTTTATTCACGAAAGATTATGACACAGCAGATGCTTAATTAGCTATACAATTGCATCCTGCAACATTTCTTAGATAGAAATTGAGACCTTTACTTCACAAAAGCTTCGTTGACCATCGTGACATGCTCTGAACAAACAAGCGGTGAATGCTCGGTCAAGAGATAACAAGCTTCAGCTATCTCACCTCTTACCATGATAAGGTCTTCACACCATAAGGTGAGGCTGAAGGCGGACCGGGATACCGTGATAAGCCGGCATCTGATCGACAAAGACCGTGCTTGCAGTTGCACGCCCCGGACAAGAAAGTCCTTGGGCAGCTCGGCAGTGATATTACCGAAAGCTTAAATCGAGATTTCCAGTTGGAGACGAGATAACCCCTCACAAGAACGAGATAGACCAATCAGTCTACACCCTTCACCTGCACACCGTCTTGTTTCGTGTTGGAATGCTTGTGTGTAGCGCTAGTGATGCAGCACTTGTTGGGGGGTTACCATCCATAGACAGTTGCTGTGCTTGATTTACCGTAGCATGTTCTGATTCTGATATTGCACACCACTAGCTTGGGCTGCCAACAAAGAGTGCGCTGGTAATGCCTATAGCATTGTTACGTCGTCCTCCAGCCTTTCCACGTCACCTACCGCGATGAATTGGTGGGAGGCTTTTGACTATTGAACATTCCGCCAGCCATGACCGAATATTGATTGCCCGGTGGCTTTGACAGTAGGAGATTGCCGTCGGTGATGGTTAGTCATAAATCGAGATTGAGGTTGATGCAAAGGGCACCGCATATCGGCACGCGTAATCGTATTGCTGCGGTTGAAGCGAAATTACTTCTCATCCTCCTTGACCCCATGATCTCCAGTCCTAATGTTAAAATTAGAGCCACGATTGACTTCGGTAACTCTTGATCAAGGTTGGAGCAAGGAGCAAATGGACATTTTGCCTAACTAGACACTTTTCGTGAGCTTATAGCTTCCTCTGCACCGCATCTCCTCAGTGATACAATTTCCATCTCGAGAAACTAGGATGAAGCTCTCACATACGGACACTGATACAATGGAGGGGCTCATTGGCTGAGCTTACACCTTCAATGTCTTGCCACAGAACCTTAAATATGGAGGACGAACGAGGCTATCGGACCGGCCAGGGAGGCTGCAAAGGTCACAAGGCCTGGGCACCTGATGCCCGCCTCGAACCAGCGCCCTTGAAATTGGAAGCCATCACCCTTGGATTCTAAACTTTGGCCAAGATACAGAAGTTGGCAAGGGAGCGCCGGCTCTGCAATTTGCGATGCCGGACCCATGCCGATACATCCGACACGGAGGGTGTCTAGAAACTAAGGTTTATGTGAAATACTGTTTTACTGAAGGGCCCAGGACTTCATACGACTTTCTTGGCCCCGAAAGCCCCTGATGAAGTCTGAAGGTCGCTAGATGATGTCTTTGATACCAGCGTGAATGAACCAGTACCATGGCGTATGAGACTCAATATAAGAGACCTCGATATTAGACCCTTGTCACAGTCCGTGAAACTTCGAGGCAATATATATGATAGCAACCGATTGGTCCCACTGAGGTCTCGGTCTACGCCAAGGCCCATTGCCAACGTATCATTCGTCACTATGGATTTTCTAACTCTATAAGCTGCCTTGATAAGATACTGCTTGATATATGTATCGGTTAGATAGTCAGGCCCTAGTAATCGAGCGTTAACAACATTGTACAACACGGCACGAGGCCATAGAACTCTTGCACTTGCGATGACGTTGAGAACATCACGTCAGATGATGATCCCGGTGCCATACACTTGTCGCGCATATGGCTCGGCTACATGATATTATAGTACATCAGTACCGTTCCTTAAAAGAAGTTCTGTTGTGATTCCACGATGCCTGTCATGCGTCAGGAAGCTCAGAACTTTGGTTTGCCAGAGTTCAAGTCAGATTCCCCGAAGACCCTATCAACTATCGTGGAGTGCTTCAAGCCGAAGCGTCTCACGTAAGCAAGAAATCTCGATCAAACGAGAGCCTCATTGTTACTTCATAAAACATAGTGAAGATTAACTGTCCAGGACGATGCAGGCCCAAGACAGCAACGTAACAGGAAACCTGAAGATACGTGATGCCATCTCGTTAAATCCGGGTCTTCCTCAAGATCACAAGACACAATCACTTCCTGCACATGCTACTAGGAGATTATGACTTCTATGGGGAGCAGCATTTTCCAAAACGTGATTCGTGAACTGACGGTCATTTGTTTGCGTGCTATTGGCCTCCGATCACGCAACAGGTGATAGCCATAGCTATTCTACATGCCAAATCTGTCTTGATGATAATGCCTAAAATTTATTCCATCGGAATTGAATCATTGAGATCAATTCAATATCGACAAGTATTATTGGTCCTCCGAGACATATGGCGTTGATAAGATTGACATGGCAACACAAGATATTGATCTGAGAACTTCCCCGCTCCTCAATCATAACAGAATCATGAAGAACCCAAGAGTTCTTGCGTGCTACAATGTCGTGCATGAACGCAATCACCGTGCATCTGGCGTAATTGTCTCAACCCGATTTCGGATCTGACTGCCCCGAGTCTTCCTCAAGTCGACTGCGTTTATATCAGTCGCATAGCCTATCTTCGCCACATTTTCCGAGTTATTTGTTTTCCATATCTCCTCTGAACTTTATAATATCACAGAATGCCTCATAAAATTCGGCGTGTCGCAGTAGTTGGTGCTGGTCCAGCTGGCGCCATTGCAACTGATGCGCTTGTCAAGGAGGGAGCATTCGATACCATCCGGGTATTCGACCGCAGATCTGCTGTTGGAGGAACTTGGTAAGAGACATTCTCTTTCTGAAAGTAAACGTATCTCACGGCCTAATAGGATTCATACACCGCATCTGCCACCAGGGATTCCTTCCTTGGAGAGACTAGTTAGTGGAGAGGCTGACAATGAGGTCACTATTCCTGGGAATCTACCAGCGGTTACAACAATCTCTGAGGCAGTGAACAGCCATCAACACCGATTCTCAGACACCCCGATCCATGAGAATCTTCACAGCAACATTGCGCCTGATATCATGAGTTACACTCAGGAGCCCTTTCCCAAGAAGCTCTCACAGAAGACTCTAGCTGAGTATGGACCAGACTCACTGTTTCGACATCACTCTGTTGTCCGTGAATGGATAGAGGGTATATTTTCTCGTGGTGGTCATGACAAGTTGCTTGAGCTGGAAACGACAGTTGAGAGAGTCGAGAAAGAGAATGGAGAGTGGGCTATAACTCTTCGAAAAGTACTTAAAGGCCGAAACTACTGGTGGAGAGAGACATTCGACGCGGTAGTTGTAGCATCAGGCCATTACAACGTACCCTGGTTTCCAAAGGTCGAAGGGCTGTTGGAATTTGATAGGAGGTTTCCTGGCGCGATCCATCATAGCAAACACTTCAGAGAGGGATCCAAGTATAGAGGAAAGGTAAGCACAATCTCGGATGTCTAGTATCAGGCCAGGCTGACGATGGAAGCGAGTTATTGTGGTTGGAGCTTCGGTCTCCTCCATCGAGATCATTCACGAGATCCTGGATGTCGTGGATGGGCAGGTCTACGCCTCCATAAGAGACCAGCCCATTCCAGCCTTTGGATGGGTTCCTTTCGAGCATCCCAAGATCGCCATCAAGCCAGCCATTCAACGCTTCGATCCAGAGACTGGCCGTGTACACTTCACCGACGGGTCATATCTTGACAACATAGACCATATAATTTACGGGACTGGTTATACCTTCAGTTTCCCTTTCATCCCTGCGGTTCAGAAGCGTGTCAAGAATGCCTATCGTCGACTTCCTGGTGTATATCAGCATACGTGGAATATTGAAGATCCAACACTGACATTCGTCGGAATGGTAAGTCTTCTGGCTTCCAACTGCTTCTTAAACTGACTTAGTCTCGCAGCTTGGAGGAGGTTTCACATTTCGAGCCTACGAGTGGCAAAGCGTAGCCATCGCTCGTTTTCTTGCTAGTCGTGCGAAGGCACTGCCCTCTATCCCGGAGCAACTGGAATGGGAGCGGCAACGTGTGAATGAGAAGAGAGGAGGAAAGGACTACTACTCTATCGCGCCTGACTACGAAGGCTTCTTTGAGTATCTAAGGAATATTGCTGGAGAGCCTGCCCAAGGGACCTATGGACGCAAGTTGCCAGCATTCGATCCGCAGTGGTTGGTTATCTGGGGTGACATGGTGGCGCCGAGGTTGGAGAGCTGGAGACGAAAGAGAAACGAGGCTGAGAGCAAGCTGGAACTGAAGTCCAAGTTGTAGATACTAGGTTGTACATATCGTGGAGACGGGAGTAGTGATCCCATTGAGCCGGTTTTGCTGGAGGCTGACTCTGTTCACGACAATATATGATAGTCTTCAAAGGCGACCACGAACATACTTTCAGCAATAGTTGGCTTAACAGTGAAAATAGATCAAGTGGAAAGGCAGTGAAGTTCGGGATGCTTCACGAACACAGAGATGTTCATGTTGGTTACCGGACTTCATCTGTGAAGAGGGTTGGTGTCAAATATTTACGTGCATGTGGTTGCAATGATGAATACAAAAAGATGGATTAGATTAAGAATCCGAAAGCAATCTACCTCTGATTTGTAACGCCGGTAAGTAATAGTCGTTGCATGCCACTATTAACTCAAAAGCATCCCATCCCAACATCCAAAAACTCTCAGAAAAGAAGCATCACACCGAAATTTTCTCCTGTAACCCCAAAAGTATGTAGTTCATTAAGATATTTCACCAGACAAAACGCTCTCCCCAGTTTATCGTCTCGCAATGCAGCACATGATGCCGGTTCGTCCAATGAACCAAAGGAAGCCGAAGAAGCGTACAATAGACAGCACAGCTGTCGAGTAAAGAAGAACACGGAAATACGTAGGCGTGCGGACGTCTGCTGCTTTCTGAGCGGAGCGTTAGTATGTCATAGAAGACAAGGGAGAGTGGGTGACTTACTGAGACGCCGAGAGTGATGAAATCGTCTGTGGTGACAACGACGATGAGAACAATGTTACAGAGAAGCCAGAGAATAACAAGACCAGTTCGGAAAGACTTGTACGAATCTTCGACGTCCTTCTTCTCAGGCTTTTCCTCTGCCATTTCGCTCATGGGTGCGAGAGCTCGCCAGACGACCTTCTCGAACTTGCTGTCGATATCCTCCTGTTCCTGCTCAATTTCCTCGACCACAGCTTCCTTGCCCTTCTCATCCTTGACGATCATGGCTGATGGCAGAGCCTCGGCAGTATCAGAGCCCTTTGTTCCCCATGACACATCGTGCCAGTTGTTAAAGGCGTAGACCATCAGGATGTTGATGTATGTGGACATGAGGACGAGATACTGAGGGAACGAGTGGAACATGTGCCACGGGTCGAGGTATAGGAAGGATGCGATGTAGTTGAGACCGTAGATGGTGAAGAGGGCAATAATGATCAGACCCGCGACTCCGGTATCGCCTCCGAAGAAACTATCAAAGAAGGCTTTTCCGGACTCGAAGGAGATCTGCTCCTCAATAGGCGTTCCAGTGAAAGCTCGGTACACGAGATAACCAGTCAAGACGAGAAGATACAGCTGAATAAGACCGAAGACCATGAAGGAGAGGACGTAGGTGTATTGTGCGCCTTTAGGTCTGTTTCCAAGAGCGAGGACGAATTGAAGGACGAGGAAGGCGATGTATATGTATTTGATCAGGACGTTGACAATCGGCGTGGCTGTATCACCGAATGGCCAGCCATGATATTCCGAGAGAACCTGGGGCGTTCCGACAAGCTTCATGATGATGGTGGTGGTGAGGTAGAAAGCCGCGAGCGAGAACCAAGAGAACAGCACATTGACCAAGTTATACACGAACTGGATGTGCAAGAAAAAGAGACGAATGAGGTTATGCCCCGATCCATACATTCGACCGAAATGCATGAGGGAATAGAGCGACATGGCGAAAGACCCGTTGAGCCATCGACGTCGCTGACCGATAAACTCAGCAGCACCTTCGGGAACATCTGTCTCGCCCTTGGAGGCCTTGATGTAGCTGAGATGCCACTTTTGACTGGCCTTTGCGACTAACTCGAAGCAGAGAATTCGATCCTCGGCAAGGAACATGTTCTTTTTGAAGATGTTCATGCCGTCAATACCCTTCTTGCCCAATGATTTGGAGAGCGTATGGTCGCCGTGAAAGTACTGCTCCAGAGGTCTACCCATGATAGCGCGGAAGCGATACGCCGAGAAAGCACCAGGCAAAACACTAACATATCCAAAGGCACTTTCGAGCGGTTTATCGAGGACGTTGGAGATCTTATACTCGAAATTCTGCACCGCGACGAGTGGATTGAGAAGCATCTTTCCACCCTTGCCAAGCATGACATGGATCTCTCCACAGGCGCCGCCGAGATCACGATCGTTGTAGAAGCCCTCCCAGAGGGACAGCAGGGCGCGGGGGCCGGGCTTCGTTCCGGCGTCAATGAGGATGGCGACCTCCGGGTTAAGAATGCGGCCAAAGGCATTGAAGAGCCAGCGATGCGAATTGATCTTCTTGCTGTTCTTCTGCTTGAGACAGAAGATAAACTGGACGGGGGGGAGATTGCGATGAGGCTTGTCGGGATCGGGACGGACAAGCTGTTGATCGGGTGTCACGGAGACTTGGCTGGTGTACTCGAAAATATGGGCGACGGTTTCTTTGCCGTTGACATCCTTTTTGAGAACGCCATCTTGATAGATACCAACCGTCGCGAGCACGTCGAAAACGTTCTTGTCGACCTTGTCGATACCGTCAAAGACGAGACAAACGACGATCTTCTGCCACGCAGGACCGCCCTTGTTCCAGAACTTGGAGCGCTTGAGGTTCACAATGTCCCGAATGTTCTGCATCGTTCCGTGGAGGGTACGCGCAAGTAGCACCTTGTCCTCGTTGTAATAGGTGATGGCGATGAGCAGTTCTGTATGACGGTTGTACATCTTGGGGCGGAGGTTAAAGCCGTTTCGCAGGGTGAAATCGTTGGGGTCGCATGTAGCAGCTGTATAGCGCATCTTTGTGAACTCCTCCTCCATGCTTCCGGGACCGCTTCGGTATCGCGGTTCAACGGCGTTTTTGATGGCGCTGGGCACGGGGTAATCGATGCTGAGAACGGAGCCCTGCACGAGCTTGACCTTACGGGTCTTTGAGCGACCGAGACCACCTGCGAGTTGGTTCTGCTGCTGTCGCATCATCCAGCTCTCGTCAACGTCGAACTCCTGGTACGTTGAGTCGGGGCGCCCGTGGGCAAAGTCTGGAACAGAGAGAGCCTCGCCATTCTGACCCCAATCTTGCATCGTAGGGGCGCGATGCATGACGGAGAGACGAGATTCTGCCAAACGCGAAGCTTCGACATCGTACTCAGGCTCTGGGTATTCGTAGCCCGGAGACCCAGGCATGCGACCGTGCTGGTCAGCAGGATAATGCCCAAAAGCACCAGGTCCATAGCTGTTGTGACCAAAACTATGGCCGTCAAAGCTGTTATGGCCTACGCTGCCTTGGTATGAACTGTGTAGAAGATCGCGGCTCGACTCGTTCTGCTCGGGGACGGGTCGTTGAGCGCCCAGCGGAGGGGGAGGGGACAATTGATCGTAGTCTGGTTCGTAAGGATTGCTCACAGGAGAAACACGAGCGGCGGCTGTTTCGTCAGATTCGCGAAAGTGGTACTGCAGAGAAAGCGCAAGATTAGATCGCTGTGTGATTGCGTTGGGTTTACTGTTGAGAGCTAACTTACAGCTTGGCCAGCTGGTAAATCTTGCATTTCCCGTGGCGCATCATAGTTTGGGCCGTTGCCTTGGCCTTGCGGATTAAAACCCATGACTGCGCTCTTCTTCTCTGCCCTCAGTCCAAAAAAGACTCCAAAAGATAGCTGATCAAGCGAGAGTTATTATGTGCGACGATATCGTGGTCTTCTTTCTTCTTTTACAAAAAACAATCCCCGGGTAAATCTGCCGATTATGACATGCGATAAGATGAGCTCGTTATCGGAAGTGCCGGGCTGTGATGCAATGCGGCGCCAAAAACGGGAATTAAACGAGGGACGGTAAGGAAAAAAAAAACGTTATTACGATGGACGGAGTAAACCCTCTTTTCGTCAAGATATGATGCCGACTTTTGTTATGCGATACAAAAAACGAGAGGATATTCTGTGATAGACACAAAAAAGAAGGGGAAAAGAAAGAAAGAAGGGGAAAAATCAGGTGAAAAAAACTGGACAGAGCTTCCTAGAGGGGGCGTGCTACAGTACAGTACATCGACACAGGTCAACTTGCTTTGTGAAGCTTAGAAAAACACAGTGAGAGAAAGGAAGAGAAAAGAACATGGATCCTTGTTAGGTCCAGAGAGATCGACCTCCGCCGCGTAACTAGTGGCTCCATATTATGCCAGCTTTTGCAGAATTGGTTGGTTGATGTTTGTGGTCTGTGACGTAGAAGTCTCTCATCATGCTAATCCTGTCAGCCAAAAAGTCAGAAGAGACGAGAGGGCGATGCTATTTTTGGGAGGGTGACACATGGGCACAAGCCTCGTATACACGCAATTCTTTGCTGCGTCTACCCATTGCCATGGGGGCAATAACGTACAATCCCGTGCTATTTCTGATCCGTCTCTTCAAAGAAAAGTCTTTCAGAGGCATATTTGATCGTGGCTTACTCTCGTTTTAACGGGCCGTTACGTCAAAAGAAAACAAGGCGTCTTTTTTAATTTTAGGCCTGGCTTGGAGCGTTACAAGTAGAAACATGACCCGCCCCACCCACTGCTCCGTCCAATGTAGGTACAGCACGCTACAGCGGACTACGGGGACTTACAGCACAGTATAGCCCGACGACAGCACAGTAGGTACCCCACAGGAAGCAAGGAGCATGGATGTCACTCGTATCTGAATCTTTCTTAAAAATAGAAAAGATAAAAAAACTCAAATGTCGGGGCCAGATTGAGTCCGAGATAGATTGAATTAACGTTACCCCGAGATGGGCCCTTGGTGAATACTGACGTGGTCCTTGAGATTCAACGTCTGTACGTCTGTTCACTGTTGAGATGGACTTCAGCTACACCAAAACCGCTATAGCCTCCCCTGTCGGCTTGTTAGTGCACTGACGCCATCATTTTCCTGTTTTTTCCCCTGCATTTAACGATTCCGCATAAACAACCACGTCCCAAAAAGAGAACAAAAAGAAACCCCAAACAGGGAAAAACAAGATACCAGAGTGAATGCAACTTCAGTCACCCAATTCGCAGGTCTTTTGATCTCTGGTCAAATGCTCACAGACATCATCTGCCATAATGACGCCATTCCGGCAATTCGGATCCTTTTTACGTTTTTTTAGGCGACGCCGCAGTGACTTGACTTGACTTGACACTGGAAGGAAAATAGCGCAACCGGCCGACCTTCAGTTGGTTTCTAGAACAAATCATCGGTCTGCCCGTTTCAAAAATCCGTCGTCTTTGAATGCGTGTTTGGACTGCTACACGAGGTCCCTGCCAATATCGCACGATGGACAGTGCACCCTTGCATTGCTCATCTCGTTTTCCGTCAAGTGCAGTGACCATGTCAGCCCTGCTAAGAATTGGTCAAACAGTCCACAAACAGGGCTAAGATGGACGATAAAAATGCGCTTCCAAGGGCTAAATCGATCGCGCGACGTGAAACGGCCAAAGCGACACTTGTTCTCGGGTTTGCTCCGGTCATTGGAGATGGTCACGTGTTGATTTGTTTGTCTTCTGTCCTGACGCGTGTCATTTCCACTCTAGACCCATCCTGTTGAGTTTCCGAATCATGCTGTTGTATTCGCATTCATGCGTGATACGGATCCGATCTTGATGTACATGCGACCTCAATTATGTACGCGACACAAGATCCATTCCACATTACTTCCCAATAACATCAAAGCCCCAAGATTCCCATTGTTTGCCATCATAAGTACCCCGACGCGGGGAACGTCGTCGCCCAATGAACTCCAGTCAATGCCAATTACAATAACACCGTCCTGGGTAGCGCCATGTATACTTCCTTACAGATTGTAGACTGAAACTTCGTATTTCAAACACTCAATCATTCATCCTTTTCATGACAAGCCTTCTTGAACTCCTTCAAAATTGCCTGTAGATTGTCAGTGTCATTCGTCACCATAAATAGTCGCACGTACATCGAAATCGTGATCTGCCATTGACATGAACGCTGGAGACCTGTCCAACTTCAACTTGCCAACACGCGGGCTCTTGATGCCAAACGCAATCCTCGCCAGAAAGCGCGCATCGTCTCGGATGTCTGTTGATGTCAGTACCTTGTTGATGGCTGCTCTGTCGACCTGCTTGGGCGACGACGGGGGCAGCTTCACAGCTGCGCCTCTGAGACAGAACGTGCAGTGTCCGCACTTCTTCTTGTTCTCTGGAAGATCCATGCCGAAGTGCTGTGCGATGGAGAGGCCGAAGCATTTTGAGACTGTGACGAAATTGATGACATCTTTGAGTCTATCGAGAGCCTGCTTCTCGCGCCTCTTAAGGTCTTCGTAGAGCTTGTCTGTGAGATCATCGATTGCTGTGTCTGTCTTTGGTAGCTTGTCCATCACTTTGTACTTCTGCTCGACTCCTCCGACGGTGAGGACGATAGCACCACTGTTGTTGAGATCATTGAGGAGGTTGATGATTTCGTTCCGTCGTAAACCCTCATCGTTGGCGACCTTCGTTGGGTCAATCGAGTGGAATTTCTTGGCCTTCTTGGCGTGCTTCAGAATAGCCTTGCTCTCTGGCGTGTTCATGCTCTTGAGACGGGGGTAGTATTGTCCATGTGCTTCGAACTTGTAAGAGCTATACTCGGGTGTCGTCGCGCGAATGAGATTGAACCTGAGCTCCAACGCAGCGTAGATGACACTCAGGGGACTCATGCGAATGTCGAACTGCGATGACTGGCTGTAGTGGCTGACTTTGAAAGTTTCGCCAGGCGGCAGTTTGACAACATCGCCATCGAATATTTCTTTGAGGAGGTTGCGTAACGAGTTGCGGGACGGTAGGTCTCCACGCGCAAAGTTCTCTTTGATCCAAAAGTCTTCTCGGCAGAGGTAGAGCATGCAGTAGCTTGGTTTGCCGTCTCGACCGGCACGACCGACTTGCTGACAGTACTCCTCGACGGTACTCGGGATATCCCAGTGGATAATGTTTCGAATGTCTGCACTCATCAGTCGTATGCTCACAGAGGCGACCGCGTCGACCAACCTGACTTGTCGATACCCATGCCAAACGCAATGGTTGCAACTACCTAGGCCGTTGTCAGTACTGTCCCTCCAGCCTCGGATCCTGACAAGCCCACCGTTTGGATTTTAGAGCTCATGAAATCATCTTGAATCAATCTCTTCTCATCAAGTTTCATGCCGGCGTGGAAGTGGGCAGCGGGGACCCCCTGCTTCGTGAGATGCGCCGCCAGCTCTTCAGCTTGCTAGGTCGAATATCAGCACTGAAAGATCACAAGAGGGCACAAAGACTGAGCAACCTTTTGGAGAGTCGTGTAGATGAGTGTCGAGCCGGGATGCGTTTTCAGGAAATTGAACAGAAGCTCATACTTGTCATCCTTGACCTTGACGGCCTCGGCTTCGAGTCGAAGACTGGGGCTGTCAGCGAAGATTTCAGGGTATGTAGCGTCAGAACTTACTTGGGGCGATACACTGAGGTTCTGAAAACACCTTTGTCGGAAATGTCGAAAGCCTGGCAAATGTCTTTGACGACAGGTGGTGTAGCGGTGGCTGTCAAGCAGATGACTCGTTCGGCCTTGATCTCCTGAACGAACCGGGCAACTGTCTTGGGTCAGCGGAGGCCATTCAGCTGGCGCAATGACGCAAACCTTTCAGGTAGTCAGGGCGAAAAGAATGTCCCCACTGTATCAAGGTCAGACAACGTTCTGCAGTCAACGGAAGAGGGACATACCTCTGAGATGCAGTGGGCTTCGTCCACGCCAATCATTCTAACCCCTCCCTTGACTCGCTTCATTGTCTCAACGAACCCTTCGTTGTTGAGGCGCTCAGGAGCGCAGTACAACAGGCGCAGTTGTCCCTCTCGGAGATCCTTGTTGATCTTCTGGATTTCATCCCAACTTTTCGTGGAGTCCATGCACTCTGCTGCGATGCTCCTCCGCTTGAGCGCATCAACTTGGTCCTTCATCAGAGCAATGAGGGGCGAAACGACGATGGTAATACCCGAGTCGTTGGCCTGTCGTGCTTTGGTCTGGCGGTCTACTTCTGGAAACGCGATGGCAGGAATCTGCTTGTATCAGTACAGGAGATCCGCTGACGATGTTGGGACGAGAGCTGAAACGTACCTGATAGCAAAGTGACTTTCCGGCACCTGTGGGGAAGACAACAAGTGCATTGTCGCCATCCAGAAGTCTGGCGATGGCGGCCTCTTGCTCATGGCGAAACTCTCTGTAGCCAAATTTGTCGGCCAATAACTTTCGCGCAAGCTGAATACGTTGTGTCTCGCCAAGTCGGCCATTAGAACTACTTTCCTTAAGACTGAGGGAACCATGTCGTGCTTTTTTAGCAGGCGCTATGTCTTGAATGTCGTTCTCTTTGCCTCTGCTATGCTTCTTAGGCGGATTCATCATTCCCGCCTCCTCAAGCGCGTCAAAGATGAGGTCATCTTCATCAATGTCGTCAAAGAGAGCGTCTCCAGAGTCAAAGTCTTCGTCGGGAATTCCCATTCTGTGATCAGATCTGCCGGGTAGAAAATATAAACACAACTTCTGAAACAATATCGCGTAAAGGAAGAATGATAACGGACACTTGGCGATGCTGTAAGGATTTTTGGTGATTGGTGGCGATTGACTCCAAAGGTGCCTTTGATTTGATTTGATTTGATTATCCTACTCGGTTGTAGTCGTTTAGACGACTATGCCCGGATAACGGGGTCCAGGGAACAGCCAAAGCCTCGCGGATCAGTGTTGATCCGCGGTACCCCACTTCGCCAACGTCATGACCACGTTGACCAGCTGTTCCCAAAATTCCCGCTTTTCTCTCTCTAACTACTATTTACATTTGCTTGCCGGCCCATATACATAGTGGTTTTCTACCAACGCGTCCGTAATTCTAGGCTCTATCGGGCTATAAGGCCCTCTCTTTCGCGGCTATATACCTACAGTCTCCCCCCAGTGCTCAGCTTTGTCTGTTAAGGTCTCGATCCTGAAATTGCCCAAGGATCTAAGTCAGTTCGATAAACTTGATTGCCTTGGCGGCTGCTTTGCGCTCGCTCAGTAACTTCCGGAGATTATTGCGTCCTCGGAGTCGTCCTAGTTCCTGGTCCCAGAGTTGGCGGTGTTGGCGGCAGCGCAGGAGGATATGCGCTACCGTTTGTTGATCCGATCCACAGGGGCATCTATTGCTAGAGATGCCTGGTACCTTTCGGTTGTAGAGGAAATCCTTAAGTCCTATCTTCTCCGTTCGCAGCTGCGTGAGCAGCGCGCTATGCTTCTTGCTGAGCCTGTTATATAAGTCTAAGACCTTGCGTAAGGGTTTGGGTATGTGCCTAAAAGATGCTTGGCCGCGTGTTTCGGATATCCAGTCTCTTTCCTATAACGTAATAGTCTCTTTGTGAGACCATGTCTTCATGGTTAATCGGAGTAGGTATAGCTGCTGCGGTTCTGCTGCTTTTGGTCCCGTGAGGTCGCCTTCTCTCTAACCTGTTACTTCCTTTGCTGCTTGATCTGCTTCTTCGTTACCTTGGATCCCAATGTGCGCTGGGACCCATCTGATCTCGGTGTTTAGACCTTGTAATTAGAGTTCGTTGATCTGTTTTACGATGCTTCTGAGCAGGTATGCCCCCGACTTACCCTTGGGCTTTGCGGTTGATCGGATGGCGGCCTGGTTGTCGGTGTAAATCAAGACCTTGCTTCTACTGTTGCCTCTGGACCTGTCTTCCTGTGCGATCTGGAGGGCAAGACTGATGCCTTGGAGTTCACCGGCGTAGACGGTGGAAGTCGTGTCGTCTCCTATGTAAGCACTCTTTGTTTCTTGGGTGGTGGTGCAGACTGCGGCAGCACCGATATGACCACCGATGCCGCTACCGTCTGTGTAGATGTGTATGGCGTCTGGCTCGTCTTGTATGATCTGTTCGTGTTTGATTTGCGCCTCCTCTGTGTTTGTTTCGATGAACGTCTGTGGCCCCTGCCACCATGGAGGTACAATGTAAGGCACGATGTGCTCTTGTCTCCGGATATCTGGCCCTTGGCGGTCTCTGATGGCTTGTTCAATAGCTCGTCTTAGGCTTTTCTTCTTGTTTCTTCTTGCCTCCTCTTCTATATGTCGGCGTTCAGCTGGGCCGACCCTTCCTAGAGTGTCGACGTTATGCTTAAAGATCTGCTGTTCAACTGGTAAAAGGTATATTTCCACGTCAAGGGCAGGTATCAATGCTGCTTTATACGCTCTACTAATCACCCTAGAAGCTCTGGCCTGTAGGCTTTAAAGCTTACTCAATGTTCGCTCTGTGTATGGCTTGTCCTTGGTTCTCCAGTTTACATTCGACCAGGCAGAACAGGCATATATTATCTGCAGCACAGCCACTCCTTTATATATGTTTCTCATTTCTCTCATTATCACTCCCTAAGTTAAACCACCGAGGCTGCTAAGGGCATTAACTATGTTGGTGACCTTGCGTTATATTTCATCTATGTGCTGTTTCCAGGTGAGGGTGGAGTCCATAATGAGACCTAGGTATTTGCATGTTTTCTTTGGTTTGATCATGCCCTATCTTGTTTGCAGAGGCTCCTCGATGTCTATTCTTGTTCTTGTCCGTGTAAAGTGAGTAAGCTGGAATTTGTCTAGCGCGAAGATAAATACATAGGTGGCCGCCTACTGCTCTGCGATATAAAGTGCCTCTTGGAGCTTCTTGTATGTCTCTTTCGTGGAGTTTGCCCAGGTAAGTATAGCTATGTTATCTATAAAGCCTGTTGTGGCCGTGTCGTCTAGCTCTCTGTACTTTTCGATTAGGTCTACGTTGTAGAAGAGGTAGAGGATCGGTAACAGATTCGATCCTTGTGGCTCTCCTGTCTCTAATTTGTAGGGTTTAGATGTGAAGCCATCAATTAATAGCGTTGTAAATCTTGGGCATAGGAAGCTTCTAATCCACTTAACTGTTCTTTCATCTATCTTTCTCTTCCGCAGATTGTGTAGTAGGCGTGTATGTGAAATGTTATTAAACGCCCCTAATATATCTAGAAGCAGTAGACTTGCTACCTTGCCTTGCCTAGTGTTCTAGGCGTTATATATCTTGTCGATGATGAGGTGAAGGGCGTGTTCTGTTAATCTTAGCTTTCTTCTACCCATATGGGTATCAGGCAGCAGGTTATGAGTCTCGGCGAGATAACTCAGCCTCTTTGCTATGACTGCTTCTATGATCTTTCCTGTAGTGTTTAATAGAGCGATCGGCCTGTAGGCCTTTGGTACGGTATAATTGTCTTTCCCTGGCTTCCTGAGGACCACCGTTGTCAATTGTCGAAAGTGTTCCGGATAGTAGCCAAGGGCGAGGGACTGATTGAAGATCTTGGTGAGATGGTGCTTAATCCAGGGAGAGGCGATTTGGAGTACTTTATTGGTAATGCCGTCCAGTCCTGGAGCCTTAAGCGGGGCTGCCTCCTCAATGGCCTCCTCTATTTCCCTCGTTATTATCGGTGGCATGGCTATGGGAGCAGGGTAGTTGGCATTCTCTATGTCTTCGATATCAGTGTCAGGTGGCACCGGAAAGAAGGTCTTTCTAAGAAGCTCTGCTTTTTCGCTAGGGGTTATTGCTTACTGCTTTGTAGCTAGGTCGACTAGCGCGGGTATCACGTTCGGTGTTTAACTATATCTGTTTCGGGCCTATTTTGCTAACTGCCAGAGGGTTGCCGGGGATTGGGCAGCTTCTTCTACCTTCTCCCGATAGTTCTGTCTGAGTACTTTCTTAATAACTCTACCTTTGTTATTTCGCGCCGCATGGTATGCTTCCTATGTCTCTTCGGTACGATACAGGCTGTGTCGCCGACGGAGTCGTTTTGATTCTGCCAAGGCTGCAGAGCATTCTTTGTTCCACCCTGGCTTCGATCTCGGTGACAGAGCCGTCTTCAGTACTGCTTCATCGACAGCTGCCGTTATGGCTGCCATTACTTCTTCCACATATCTATCCAAAGCCGTCTTTGTTCTTAATCTTCGTTGCGGCGGAAGCTCCCGTTATAGCACGCGAGTAAATGTCTTTTCGTCTAATGCTTTCCAATTTCGCCGGGGCTTAGCTATTATTTTAATAATGTTTAGGTCTAATAAGGTGGTGATAGGTAGGTAGTCAGAGTCATAGTCCATGTCTGTTTCGATTTCGCACTAAATCAGTCTATCCATAAGGCCAGCCGTCGTGAGGCAAAGGTCTATGGTCGTTCTTCCGTCACACTCTTTATATGTAATAGTGCCTGGAGCAAGGTTGCTCATAAGACAGTAGTCTTCCATGATTATAGTAAGCTCAGCGGCATCATGGTCTGCTCGCTGGACCCGATCACCTCCCTATAGCTCGTGGTAGAGGTTAAAGTCGCCAACAATGATTTGTTTATAATGGGATGATCGTTCTATGGCCAGCTCTAGGAGTGGAAGCGTGCTTCCTCTCTTAGTTGCAGTTTTTATTGGGTTATAGACGTTATATATCATAATCTGCTGCTCTTCTTCTGTTCTAAGTACTAGGTTTAGTAAGCAGAGATCTCTGCTTGCCTCTCTAAAGTGCCACCTAGAGTAATCAAGCCTCTTATTAATAAAAAAGCAGACCCTAGCTGAAAAGTTTTAATCCTTGTCTGGGTAGCATAGGTAAAACTGGTCTTTGGCTAGATAGTGAGTTGTTGTATCAAATGGGTTCTTCTATGGCTCCTGGATGGCAAGGATGTCATATCGCCCTATATCGGGATCTCGCAAGAGCGTGGCCATGACTATGTCCTTTGATTTTCTAACGTTGTACTGTAGTATTGTAAGAGTGTTTCCTATTAACATTCTTGATCGTTAACCTCCATTTACTGGCTGTGCTGTGTAATCTATCTGTTGGCGTCCAGTGTTTCTAATACTCTCCTGGAAGGAGCTAATGTTCATCTAGGTCGCTGGCTCCCTATGTTCACGATGATCTCGTTTCTGGGATTATCGGGTGTTACCTGGTTGTTGCTGCAATTCGCTCTCTTCTGTTACTTCTTCGTCGGCGATCTACTCCGGGACAAGTTGGCGTCCCGTGGCCGGCCTGGTTCCAAGGTGGGTCGTCCTGTCCTGGCGATCGGGTTTAATTCATTTTGCCGATCCCTTGTTCTAATTCCGGTCGTGGTGCTGGCGATAAAGCTTTCTAGTTCTAAGTGGTACCTGGGTCTCGATTTAGAGGCTGCCTTGGCCTTGTTCACCTCCTGTTTCCTGGTAGGGCATTGGTTGTTCCAGGCTTTGTGAGGGCCGTTGCAGGCCGTGCATTTTCGCGGGGTGTTCCTGTTGCTCTTGGTTAGGTAATCCCGGGTGGTATGATCTTGTGCGCAGTAGCCGCATGTTATTATTGCTTTGCACTGGGTTCCTATATGGCCGTATTTGTGATACTGGAAGCATTGTCTCACACGGCACTGTCTATTATAGAGCTTGCATTAGAATACCTCGCCTTGCCAGATGAGGCCCTTATCGATGACTTTATTTGCGTCTTCTGGTCTTGTGAACTTAACCACGACTGAAGATGCTGATTTAGTAGACGAAGATCTCGTTAGCCAGCCTATATACTTGATCTCTGCATTTGGTATAAAGGGCTTGTTATCCTAAAGTATCCCATCTCTAATAAGTTTAAAATTATCTATATTCATTGAACTAGTGTATACGCTATGCACTAAGACACCGTACGTCGGAATGCGTACTATAGCGCCGTTTCCGATCCTTTGTTCCTAGTCTTCTGCAAACTGTCTAAGCGCCACTATGTCTGCTGTAGTGGCCATCTTGATGCTTAGGTCACCGCTCTTAAGCTGATTGGAGGATACTACCTTGATGTTCTCTATGTGTTCGTTGCTGCTTTGCTTAATTACAAGGTCTACATGTGACTTTAGGCTGCGTGGGCTCATCATTCTGATGTTGGCTATAGTGATAGGGTCTCTGATGTTAATAATAATCTCACGCAGGGTCTAAACAGGTGACGCTTTCTGGTTCTGTGGGTTATGCATGCTTGCCGCTAGCCCTCCTCTTGCCAGCACGTTAGCGTAGGTAGGCATGGCGTTGGCTTGGTTCTGCTGGCTTATGAGCTTCATGTCTCTGATCATTTTTATCGTTGCTTTACCGATCTCTGTGGCTTCCTTTACAGCTGCTTTTACGTCTGTTGTAATCTCCGAACTGCGCTAGACTTCTTCCATGGTTTGTTAAGCTTGGGTGTTTGTTTCATTGAGATTATTTTTGAGGCTGTTAATGTGTTATGCTAAATTTTCTGCTGCGGTTTTTATTTCAGCTTGGCCGTTTTTTACGGCTTCGTAAATGTAACCAAGATCGGGTATACTCTGCATTTTGACGATAAGGGTAAGAGCTCCAATAAGTGCAACTCGAACTCCACGGGATGCGATAGGTAGACCATTTCTATTGTCGATGGCTGATAGTGCCTTTTAAAGATATTTGCTTAAATTTGTGGCGTGCTCTCGGTAATCAGTGGGCCAAATTTCGTCCTGGGGCCACGGGGTCGCCATGATGTTCTGAGTCGCACTGGGCAATGCGGCCGACACTGGGCTATCTAATTAACCTGTTGGAACGGTGTTGCGGCGCTGTAAATAGCTGTTGTTTTTAAAAATTTCGTTCTCGCTGGTGTTGATGTTTTCTCCAAAGGTGCCTGAGGGGACGCGTGCTGAGAGTTGCGCGGTGACGCCTGATCACGTGGCACGCCGTTTGTGAGGAAGGTGAGGTGGGGCAGGTATTCAGCGCACCATGACAGAAATGGACAATAAGGCGCTAGCTTGAGGTCACGTATCTTGTGCTAAACATGGAGATGGATTCATCTCATCTGCTCCTCCAATTTTGTCGTGCTTATAGCCAAATGCACGTACCCTACATCACCACGTTCTTTCGGTATTTTCTGCCCTTTTTCTTGACTCTCGAGTTAAGGACAATCCTGCCATAATGCAATCGGTAGCTCGGTATTACTTTTAATTATAAATTCGGCGATAAGAGAAGGGTATAGCCGAGTTAATTAGTTATTGTGTCTTGTGTCATAAAACCGGTCTTGAGTGACACTGCAGTAAACGTCTTGCCAACCAATTTCTCTCACACTCAGACACGTCGTTCCAGCACAACACAACACCATCCTTTCACATATACGATATTGAAGTACCCGGAGCATTTATCCTATTCAGTCGCGCATCAATTGCCCCGATTTGATCGACAAAAGTTTCTCATTCCGAATGGCTACACTGTGGGGAAGCATAAAAACGCTACGTCATAGATGCGAAGTAATGACATTGATGGGATGAGACGACCATGACAGTCAGAGGAAAGAAAATTTAAAGGTTGCGATATCATAATGCTTATTTTATTATCCAAATTCTCAACGCCATCCTTACGTGAAGCATCCATGACGTGATCGTTACTCATCCTTCAACATACAAAAATAAGAACAACCCTCTAAGCGCCAAGACTCCTCCCATCTTTTGCTAGGGAAACACAAAGATATCTCATCTGTTATTTCTACCAGTCAATTATTGCCAACCTTAACAATGTCGGGTTATGCACAGAACGAGCGTGGCCAGGGCATGTCTCACGCCACAGCCCCCTCTAAACTCTCCGAAGGTATTCAGCGACAAATGCCCAAGGGTCTTGAACATGCTCTTCCTGAATCTGTAGGTTATTTACGAGCAGTCCAAAATAAGTATGTCTAACATCTTAGATCCACCCCACTGAGTCTACGCCTGGCTTATCCGGCGGCATCTCATATGAGAAGGGCGGCGAGGCATCCCTATTACCACAAAAAGGTCAGGAAAGCTTGCCTAAAAGAGTGAAGAGAGCCATCCCCAATGCTATCGATGATACTGGAGACAAAGGCGATTCTAATGATAAGCACTGAAGCGGTGACTGGGTTTGCGGTCTAGTATCTTGCAAGATGATCAAGAACACCCGGAGGTAATGAGTTGTAGGAACATGGGGAGAAAATGATTTTATTGCAATTTCCTGATTCGTTGCTTTCGATATGCTATAGCCTGTGGGGGAGGATTAATGAAACATGAGGCGAGATGTTATACATGAGTGATGTGAAGTCCCGGTTCCAGTAACGTATGCGGCTTGATCACTACGCACACCCATTGACCTACAAATACAAAAAGAGACCAGTCGCCAGGATGACTACTGCCGTGATCCCATGACTGATGCTAGCATTGGCAGCCTTCTCTTCCGCCTCCCCTTGCACATAGTCCTTGTTCGCAAACTGCCGCACAACAACAGCATCGCCGACTCCAACAAGGGTACCAAACATGAAGCAGATTCCCATGCACTTTTTCGTAACTGCCGCAGCTAGCGGGCTCACTTGACAGATCGGGGAGAATTGCCAGAACGCATAGAGGCCAAGAGTGCTGAGACCCGTGCCGATGTTTCGTAGTCCAGACGCGTAGATGAGAGATTTCTGGAAAGCTTCGGACTGCGAAGAAGCGGTCTTCTCAGTAGCTGGGGCGTGAAGACCGAAGAGACGCATGGCGTTGTAGGGTGACACGAAGCTGTAGATTCCAATGCTCGTGCCGGTTACTCCGAAGAGGAGGGGAAGTGCCGAGACGATAGTCGTGGTGGTAATTTCTGCTGCCATGATGATTGAGTTGTTGACACAAATGCGATTTCAAATGGTTTCGTGACAGAACGTTGGGTTGCCTGAAGTTGATTGAAGAGATGGGAGAATAGGATTGGTGATTGACGAAATGACATTCACGATAGTGACGCAAGAGGTTGACATGGCGATCCGCTCTCGTAGATGCATATTCTGTGTAAATCGTTAACGTTAGCTTGGTGGACTCCGCACCAAGCGAGGCACTCTCTGCGGCGCTATGTAAGCCGTGGTTGCAGTGTCTCAATATGAGATGCTCAGGTGAATAACACGAGGATAATCTGAGAGCTGTCCTAAAATTCTCTCGGAAGATTGATTTAGTCGGGCATGGCGCTAAGCGATGCCGCGAGGGTTCTATCTAAGCTGTCATGCTCACGATACTTCGGGTTCAGAAGATGAGACATAACCATTTTATCTTGGGATAAATAAAGAAAAGTTCTAGCTGAACTATATGTCAAGAAAACAAAATCCTTGTCCTTGAGGGTAACGCTCGGAAGACTCTTGAGCCCGACGCAAGTTGCGGTGGGTTTCATTCTGCCTAAGACTGCCCTGAATGTCTTTCGAGAAGGTGCTCGCCTACAGTATCAAGGCCGTACATTCTATGAAAACGTATATCTGTTCCCCCTCCTGACTCCAAACGAATCCCTTCCCGGTAGCGGCTCTCAGACATGAAGAAGAGCAAAGCCAGCGACCCAGCGTTGTTTGCGGACACTATGTCACGGGAAAGGGATTTTTTTAAAATGAGGAAAGCCACGTCACTATGTTTCTCTTCCGAGCAGTAATGTAAGACTATTGACCCAAAAACGAGTAAGAGGTCGGTTCATAGAATGACCTAGAACATTCACCACCAAGTTCCGATCAACTCTTTACCGTATATACAAGGCTGGGGCGTTAAACGAGACTTTGGGCCCCAAAATCGTATCATGAATCTCCTTATCATTAAGAGAAATGGCAACACCTTACTCCAAAGCTAAGGTTCATTCGTGCGCTACACCTCTAGTCTTGATCGCTTTGTCGCTAGCAGATAATGCACTTCGGCACTGAACAGCCGCCAGGAACAATCCCCATTCGCCGATTTTCAAGTCTCAATCGCGTCTGCCTATCCGTAGAAGCCTCTAATTTGCTGGGATATGATAGGGGCCCCAAGTTCTGCAGGTCAGCACAGACAAAATCACGAACCCCTGGAGTGTTTCTGAGGCTAAGGGTGACGGTTGCGTGCTAAGGAAAACATGTGAGCCAGGGATCGACAGGGCTATATATTGAGACAAGCTTGCGAGACCGCGCCATCACATGTCGTAAGCAAAATGATTGAGCAGTTATATGACTATGAGAAGGTATCGTTGTTTGACCAACGGTGCAGTAGAGTGATGCGGGACCGGCAATTGAGATAGTTGCTTTGGAGACTTCGCGACGGGCCGAGTCGTTACAGAGTTGGTGTAAATATATCCTTGAGAAGCTTGAAAATTGGAGTAGAGTCGTAGTTCAGTGAACTATCCAGATATCTATGGTGAAGACCATTCAATTGATCAAAGTTATGGTAGACTTCAATACTGGATCCATCCGCGTTCTCACAACGGGTCGTGGACAAAATTGCCTAAAACGATCGTGTTTGCACTGACCTTCGGCGAAACAACATGCCGTGATGATCAAGATCGATAGTTTCATCAAACGGAAGCGCTCCCAGCGCGATCCAACATAGCTCAGGTCACACCAGATCAGAGGGTTACATGGACAGCCCTATAATTGCTCCGTATTGATTCGAGGTTTAAACCTTTCGTTAGCGCCTTGCTCGCTGGACTGGGGTTTCAGGAGGTGCCTGTGCGTCGCGGTACGCTCAGCGTCGAGCCGGCAATTAGTATAGCAACTGGAAAGATGTTTATCGTTCCAAGCTACTGGAAATTGAATTCGAGTCGAGCGAAACTTCGGCTAATGATCAGGCGATATTCAAGCCACGCATTGTCTGTAATTCCAGCGTTGGTGGACGCGCCTTGTCCCTGCGCTGATCTTCACAGCACCTGCCAATCGTGAATGCCCTGTAGTTTATCTTTGTCAGTTCTTACGTATCACAAGCTCCCTGTTGATCGTCCACGGGGAGTCGGGGCCATATCCTAGACCTTGAAGATGTCTTGCTGACTCGCAGAGATTACCGACGACATTCGTTTCCAGGTTCCTCAACAATCCGGGGTTCAACAGGGGCCATTCATGCTTGGTAAAGTCAATTATGTGGGGTGTCACCGGCATTGCTCCCAAGCACTTCCCATCTTGAGGGCTAGCGCTCGTAGATCTTCAAGCCACCGTTTGCTCTTGGCTACCTAGTGTTCTGACTCTGCTCCTTAGCGGTGACAATCATTATCTACCGAGAAACAGGGTGAACAGCTGAATTTTGCTGAACATGTTTGGCACAGGCGTTAGCAAAGTCAATTTAAATTGGGCCTATGCACGATACGAAAACTACCCGCAGCTGGATCTTGAGAAAGGGCCGCAGGTATATAGTTCTGATCATACCACATCCTGACCCTGTTGTCCTTCCATCATTTGTCTTTCAAACTGCCCAGCATGATCGATCTGGCATCAGTGTACTATGGGTTGTTCCTCGGCGTCTTCATCTTTACGTTTGCAAAGGCCGTATCACAGACCAGAGCCATCTACAAACGTACTCACAGCCTTCACAATGCTTACCTGTACATGATCTGGACCGAGGCCGTGGTCAATTTCGTCTTTGCTCTTATCACATTCCTCTACCTCAATGGCATCATCCCTGGAAAGTGAGTACTCCGTCGCCGCCTCTCGTTGCCTCTCTTGCTTATCACGTTCAACAGCCTGGGCTTTCTCCTCGCTACCGTCATCCTATGGTCAATCCAGACGCAACTACTCCCTCAGATCATTGCCAACCGAGTGTCCTTGATCATGACGAATCGACGCCGAGCGAGACACCTGAAGTTGGGGCTTGTAGTCTGCATTCTGTTTGTCAATGGCGCTGTCTGCTACATCTTCACGGTTGCACACCTCGACACTGCTACATCTTCGCAAAAGCATACGAATATGATATTCGAGAAGTGTGAGAAGACGTTCTTCCTCATCATCGACTTGGCACTCAACATGTACTTCTTATACCTGGTGCGGTATCGTCTGATTGCCGATGGCCTGAATAAATACTGGAGATTGTTCAACTTCAACGCTGGAATGGTGTTTATCTCGACATCGATGGACGTCCTTCTTCTGGGGTTCCTTAGTCTACCAGATCCTTACCTGTAAGTCTATCATGTACTATGAGCGAACTCTACCTGACGTCAGAGCAGATACGTTCAATTCGCGCCTCTTGCATACATCGTCAAGCTCTACATAGAACTGCTTATGGCAAACCTCATCTCGAAGGTCGTTCGAGGTAACTCGCGTAGCCAAGGAGGGGGATGGTATTCTAGCAGTCGGGACAAGTCCAACCCAACAAACTATGGTCTTACGTCCCGTGTAGTTGTGACCACCGGCCCGCCTGTACCAACCCGCGGAAGCAACCTCATGAGTAGAATGGGCAAAGATGGTAAAGACCTAGAGAGCAACGAGAACAACAACGGATCACAAGTTCATCTGGCGACATTCCCGGAACCGCATGGCATCACCAAGACTGTTGAAACTACAGTGGTGGTGGGAGATGGAGAGAGTGACAGGACCTTTTAACTAAGTGGTGGAGGCAGGCTATCAATGCCGGAATGGCATAAGGTCTTGACTGTTAGTGTCCAAGAAATCCAAGAAGCTAGTCTTTAACCCTTTATAATAAAATAATATGAATACGTCAAGGTAGAATCACTACTGCATTAACATTTGGACTCATTGATTCATTTAGCATTTCTACAGTAAAGTCGTTTAGACAGTGATGTAGTCTGAAGAAACAGGGATCGTTTCAACCACGGTTCGCAGGTCGACGTAAGTAGAGCTGAGACAATTTATTCGGGTGCTAAATCAGAGCTATATACGAAAACGGCTATATCCGCTACTCTGGATATTCTCAGAAAGTGACAGGCAGATCCACGATTCCGACATCCCTGTCCAGAGGGGTATAGTTGATCTTTTCCAATGGAACAGCAACCTTGAGATCTGGAAACTTCTGATATAGCGTTGCTGCAGGATGTTAGTTGGCAGTTGCACCAAACATTGAAGTTATGTATACGTACAGAACACAGTTGTAAGCTCAGCCTTTGCCAGATGCTCGGCGATACATCTGTGATCACCAAAGCCAAAGCCAAGAGGATCTTGAGTAGGCCACTTGCGGTTCATGTTGAACTCATCAGGATTCTCGAAGACTTCTTCGTCCCTGTTGGCTGACTGGTTGGATGCGATAATGCCTTCGTTTGCACGGACGAGCTGGCATGGGGTCAGCACTCTTCTATGCCTATAGCATAAGGGGTTGTACTTGCCTTGTCGCCGATCATGACATCCTCCTTGGCAGTGCGCTTGATGGCGAGTGCAGACGCAGTGTGGTAGCGACAGAGCTCCTCAACAAACTGGGGCGCAAGCGATGGGTTGGCCTTGAGTTGCGCCAGCTGATCAGGGTGCTGAGCCAGAGTTGCGACGCCCTAAAATGTATTAACAAATGAGCAGAAAACATCAGAACAAAATTGCATACCAGGGCTATCATGTTGACCATGGTAGCGTTGCCGGCGACCAGAAGCAAGAAAGCAATCTGGACAGCGTCGGACTTGTCGATATTTCCAGGCTTGACTTGCTCAGTGCAGAGCATACTGATGATATCATCCTTCGGTTCTACGAGACGCTGCTCGACTAGAGTTGCAAGGTAGTCAAGGAGCTCCCTGTTAATTGTCAGACCTGAACATGCTCGGGTGGTCCCTAGTTGGACCTACTGGTTGGCGGCAGAGGCTTCTCGGGCAGTGGAGCTACCATTTGTACGAATGGCGTTCTGCTGCGTAAGATACTCGAGATCCTTGAAGGGAACTCCGAGAAGTGTGTAGATGATCTAGACCGATATCAGACATGTCCTTTCAAGAATCGTCTGCCGTGACTTACATAGGAGGGGACAGGGAGAGCAAACTCTTTGACAAGGTCAACTGGACCATTGGCACATCCCTTCTGCTTCATCTGCTCCAGTAGATCATCGACAGTCTTCTGGATGTAAGGCTGCAAATTCTTGACAGCTTCGGGGGTAAAGGTTGGCTCCACCATGCTCCTTCAATCTGCGTCAGCCCTGTTCATCTAGAGAGCAAGGATGTAAGGTGCTTACCTCTGCTGCATGTGCTCTGGGGGATCCATGTCGACAAATGTCGGCTTTGCCTTGGCTGCTTGTTTTCCACCGGCGTTAAGCTCAGGGAAGCCTTGGCGAGTGCGGACCTTGAGCCAGGTTAGAACCAGTAGGGCCCATCAGGTCATATCAGATCATACCTTGGAGAGCTTGTCGGAAGTAGCTACGAAGCAGACATCTTTGTGCTTAGTGACGAGCCAGGCGAGAGAGCCGTCAAAAAGCTTGACTTGGGAAATGGGATTTATAGCTCGAAGTTTGGCGAACTCGGCGGGTGGCTCGGGGCCAGAGGCGCGCGAGAAAGGGAAGCTCGGTGCGTCAGATGCCATAGTGTAGGTTCTGCTGAAACGCTGTAGACTAAAGAGTGCTCTTTTGTTGCGGAGTGCGAATTGAAGCTTTGTAGTAGCCATGGTGATGGGAATAACGGAAGCGATGCCAGCAGGTTATATTTCATGGAAGCGAAAATCAGATGTGGAGTATGGGGCTTGAAGTATTCCATATTCATCCGTATTCGATGAGATCACGAGATGCAATTGATTTCCAAACATGTTCCGATCTGTCTCGGCTTATGCTTGAAGATGGCATTTCCGCTGCATGGGCAATCGGGCGGGCGAGTCGGATTGTCAGGCATCTGCAGTGGGTGTTACAAATATCTGCACCATTACTTGTCAATGCGTCTATGGCCGTACTGTTCGGGAGTTCACGGCCATGCAAAGAAGTTGGCCTTCTTCCTACTTTATGGACTGTGTCCACAGTAAAACCTAACCAGATTGCTCTTCACTCCAGTTGTTTAAGTATGAGTTACTACAGATACCATTCCGCAATTTTCTCATAAGCAAAGTTATTTTGTTTCTTCATATTAAATTTTAGAAGAATGCACAATCAAATTTGATGACCTGAAGACCGAGCGTGTCATTCCTTGGAGATGCTGATTCCCGCGGAGATGCGCAAACGCAGTCTTTAAATACCTACGACATAATGATATGATTCCATGATCTGTCATCAAAAAGCATCCCACCCACTAGGAATAAATGCCTAGTGCTATAAGCAGCCTCATGATTTCACTCTTAGTCAACCCACATCATACAACGATCTTTATGGCTGGACTTTGTCTTGTTCCGCCTCCTCCGCATTACTAGATATCGCGAATTAGCAATTATAAGGAAGAATACGGAACAGAACTGTTTCTTCCTGCGTTTTCCGAGTCTGTATCACGAGGGTCATTCACAGAGAGTAATATGCCCGAATGTCAATCCGAGCCTAGACCTTGGCCCGAATACGATAACGCGCCTTTCTTCGCAAATCTATACGTTTCCTGCTATCGCTAGTTTCGCTGCATCGAAGACCGTTGAATATGACAGATCACTAAAGGAGGCAACTTCACGCAAGTCTCTGTTCGCTATCGCGGTCTTGGGCGACTTTTCCCCTCGGTGTGAGGATTTGAATATGGCACTCATGCCTTATGACAAACCATATTTCGCATGGCTCACACTGGCCCTGAAGTTTCTCAAACGGATTCTGTCAGACCTTTCCTCGAAAGGTTTCGTTCTGATGGCTTAGAAGCAAGGGTAGGTTGTTGTCAATTGTAGGAGGCCGATTCGAACCCCGAGAGATACCTGCGCTTACAATGGGTTGTAAGGACGCAACAAGTGGCCGATACATGCCCCTGTTACTCGATGTTATGAGGATAGATTAATCTCAAGTCATTCAACCAATAGTCATGTCAAATATCAACTGCTTGGCATTCCAATAGGCAGATGAAGACCACCCTCAACAATCCATCCAGACTTGCGTCGAGTGGCGCATGAAGACCTATTGGTACCTGAGATATAGAGGGAACGCCTGTTTAGCGACGCATTGCCATCATCGCCTCGAGGTTTGTGTGATAGGAAGTCTTTGATGAGTTGCTGAGGCTATATCGGATATACCCGGTGTTGAGTAGTTCAAGTAATCGGAGTTCTTATCGAGATAACATGGCGATTGATCGCCGCCTCTAATGTCAAATAGATCCAGTTGCAGTCATGATGCCTCACAAAAATTTTCCGCCAATTTGTTATCGACCAGCTGCTCGACGAATGAAGTCCAAGAATCATTCAAACGTATTTGCCTTGTATACAACCTGCTTTTGACGGTCCAATGACACCACGGTCCCGATACTGAGTCCTTTCACTCATCAACATCAGTATGGGCAGTGACTACTGGGGGGCCTATCGGAAGTCTCATGCTTTAGACGAGTAGCTCCAGAACACTAGGCCAATCCAGATCTAGAGAGGAGGAACAAGCCGTTTCTTAGCTTCATGGCTGAGCTGTTGCTGGGGAGCTTGGTGGATGATGGCGTTGCTACTACAGGTCAGGCCGGGAGCCCGAGAGCTGAACATATTACTACGCATCGTCGCACCTCTCATTTAGTTGATTTCATCTTAAAATCACAATGGAATCTAAAAACCCATACAACTTCCTGCTGAAACCATAGCAGTATGCTCCAGCCCCGGTGCCTCCGCTGGCTGAATGGAAACAGCTATGGAGTGTCTGGGATCTTGCCACGACCAAGACGATACCGCCCGATGCGTTGATGGAACAACCAATTCCTCTGCGGAACCCGTTGCTGTCCTACCTTGGCCATATGCCAACCTTGTCAGACACCCACTATTTCATTTCAACCCTTAGCTAATACTGAACTTAGTGAGGATATTCATCTTACGCGAGCAACGAACAGCAAGCCCACCGAACCAGCATATTATCATCAGATTTTTGAGCGCGGTATAGATCCTGATGTTGATGATCCTTCTAAATTTCATGATCATAGTCAACTCCCAGACGTCTTCCTATGTCTTGAAGACATTCTTCAATATCGCGAACATGTGAAAGCACGTATCATGGCGCTCTACGAAAGTGAGACACCCTACATAGACCGCTGCATTGGACGAGCTCTATGGATCGGATTTGAGCATGAGGGTGGGTTTGAGCTTACTATAGGATTTTCCGATGAGTAAGGACTTGTAGATCTTCACGCTGAAACGTTCCTGTTATGACCATTCAAAGTCCCAACATTCTGCCCCCCTCCTGATGTGCCCAGGCCAGACTTCGCAAAGCTTACAAAAGAAGCTGCTTCTGGACGCCTTCAAAATCCACGGATAGAAGTGCCCAAGCAGACTTTCCAATATCGGGTACCATGACCCTGAGAGCGACGATGGCCCAAACAGATCCTTTGCGTGGGACAATGAGCGCGAGCCGTACGAGATCACTGTCCCATCGATCAAGGCACAAGGTCGACCAGTCAGTAACGGAGAGTATGCTAAGTATCTCGTATACGTTAAGGAGCCTCAGATCCCCGCAACTTGGAGCAAGACGGGCGATGCCCGAAGTGATGAAGATTACACCACGTTCGTCGCTCGTCACAGTATCAAGACTGCCTGGGGACCTGTTCCATTGTCGCAGGCACTTGATTGGCCTGTGATGGCCTCTTTCGACGAGGTAGAGCGATATTCTCAATGGGCTGGTGCTCGCTTACCGACGCTCCACGAATTACGGAGTATCCACGAGCATGTCGAGCGTCGTCGCAAAGCCCCGGACAGCAAAGTGAACCATGAATTCCATACCGATCCAAAGGCCATATCTGTTGATTTATCGGACACGAATTCTGGTTTTCAAAATATTCATCCAATGGGAATTACTCATAAGGATGATCTTTGCGGACTGGATGAAACTGGAGGCGCGGCTGAGTGGACAAGAACTTTATTCGCGCCGCAACCTGGATTCAAGCCCATGGATATTTATCCCGGATATAGTGGTGAGCTTTGTCGATCCATTCTCAAGAGGTTTCTATGTCGTTCTGTTCTGACATAGTTCCCTAGCCGACTTTATGGACCAGAAGCATCTGGCCGTAGTTGGAGGAAGTTGGGCCCTGCATCCTCGTATTGCAGGCCGAAAGAGCTTGTGAGTTGCGTAATACTGAAGTGCCATGAACCTGTTAATATTCGCAGCCTGAACTGGGGGCAGAAGAAATATCTCTGGCCATGGGTAACTTTCCGCCTTGTACGAGACATCGAATAAAGTGCACACCACTGAATTTATGAGGTTATTCTGTGCTACCGACTCCCACTGCCGACATCATCAGACCGAGGTCGATGGCGGAATCTGCGGTGGCTTTGTGGATGCTTTTGCTAGTCCCGTGGTGACATCATACGATATCAATTGAGTTTATAATGGATCTCGTCTTGAGATCGATTCTCGGATATACACGTTAGCAAACTGATCCTTGCTCCCTATTGATCCGCTTGGCACTTTTAGTGGGAACTTACTGTCCGCGTTTCCCGAGAGGATGGATGATGTTACGATTGCATTCCGTCGAACCAAGAGATCGAGCCACTTAAGCGAGGCGATCTCGCAGAGTATAAATACTTGGCAGCGGTCTAGAGATGTCTCATATTGTCTCCTGTAATTACTCCAGAAATATTCGAATTTGTATCAAAAGCCTTTAATACTCGTCATGTCTCTGCCACGCTATCAAACAAACACGCCCCTTCACCCAACCTTTGAGAAGGACATCCTCAACACTCATCTTATCTACGACTATGACGCCACAGACGCTGAAGGAAACCCAGAGAAATGGCGTTATGAAATCTGGTTCTTCTCCGACGATCGAGTCGTCTACGCCATCCACGGCGGCCCAATGGCTGGCCGTATCAACTACCAAACTGTAGCATACCAATGCGTTCGACCAGGAGAGCTATGGCAGATCAACTGGCTCGAAGAGACTGGAACTATTGTATCTCTTGTTTACGACATCACAAACAAGACAATCAGCGGCATGTTGGGCTTCTCAAAGGGCCATTGGGAACATGCTGAGGAGGCGCATGGCGATAAGAGAAACCCAACCGATTTCAATAGGTGGAAGGAGTTGGCAAACATTGGAAAACAAACCGATAGATTCATTTTGACGGAGCAGGCTAAGATTCTGGAGGTGTTCAAGGGTCAGGGCGATTTGAAGCCCATCAAGGAGGAGGATCCGACCTTTTAAGGTTTGAAGAAAGAGGACGTCATTGATTTTAGACATTTGTGCAACGGCGTATTAGCTTCTCATAATAAAAATCAAAGAGAATGTACAATATAAGCTATGAAACTGTTGGCTTGTTGGCTTGGATGTGAATTGTCGTTGTATCGTAAAATCTGAGATGTCCAATTTTGGCAAAATGGGAGGTTGACACTTTGAATTGGCAACAGATCCAACGAATGAGATTTGTTGAATGGCCGCGTGGGTTGTTTCTGATAAGATATCCGGATAATCACAGCCCCTGCCTTGGATGATGTGACCAACAGGTCGGTATCGGAAGACAAAATCTAGCAATTCTGGAACCTTGCCTGAAGTAGCAGTCATATGCGCTGCATGGAGTCGGATGGCACCATATCTTCAGACGAGCTCGGCTTCAATGTCACCAGATTAATTCTAAATAAAGACAGGTAGAGTCTGGGAATTTGTCTTTTATACTGAAGTCTCCAAAGATTGATCAATAGTACTCGAGTCATGTTATACCCGGTAAGTCTAGATACTGATGTATAGCCTGAGACCTGTCAAAACGTGGAGCACTTCGAAACGGAGTAAGTTATTAAATGAACGAGCTGAGAGCACAAACAGAGAACTCGTGTGAGTGCCGTCAATTTGTATCTAAGTAACTGCTCGACCAAGCTGCCAGACTGGTTTGGAGATGCATACATAGAGTCCCGTAATCGTTGAAGCATGGTAGAGAGCGATATCTTAACAGAAAAGCCGAAACGTGAATTTACAAGTTCCCTCATGATGCTTCACATCTCGAAGCAAAGGTGGATCAAACCGACTACTTAAGCTCCACAACAGAGTCAACTGCGTTCCGAGCAGTCTCCTTGCAGTCGCAATCTGGAAGGACGTGTTCACTTTGTTGAAAACGTTTATGCAACCGAGCCTGGTCTCTAACTATACATCTTGTTAGCTGAAGACGTATCGAATGAGAATCTGAGAAGTTTTGCGAACTTACATAGTCGATAGTAGCTCCTGCGGTCGACATCAAACATAAGGTCAAGTATATCACTCTGTATATTCCTACTTGACTTGGCATAGATAGTCATGGCGTATTTCCAGTTATCTCGTGCATGAAGTCGGTATCCAATAGCGTCCTCCTCGATCGCTTCGCGGACTGTCCATTGCGGATATTCTAGATAGGTGCCATTCGAAGTACCGCCGAACATTTGATAGCGTGCCCATATCGCGTCGCCGTATCTGTTCTCTTGAAGAGCTACAATATAGTCACTCGTCCAAGGCTCGACGAGTCCCCATTCGGGGCGATCGCTTTGAGCTTCGGATATCGAAACATCGAGGAATAGGTTGCCGTCCCTGTCGCCATACTTGAAGGTGTCGGTCGAGCCCAAGCTGCTGCCAAAGGCCAGGACTAAGAAGGCTTTAAGGAAGATCAATACCATTTTGTTTATAGACTTGAGTTGCTCGAAGAAACAATGCGCATAAACTCTGGACGGTTCTGTCGAGAGAATGCTTGGAACGTGAACACTTGAGCTTGTTAAGAATGATTCAGGCGTAGATCTCGATTTAGGCAGCGACTGGTTAGTTGCATATCTGAGCTGATTTTGTTCGTGTTGGTTGTGAATTCGGATACTACGGCACGGTTATCTCGGCCCCATCGGTACTTTTCAACTATCTTTGCTACCAACAGCCATAACACCATGCACACGCATAGAGTATGAAGGTTGAGTGATAGATCAGTTATTACCATGATCAACTTTATATTACCATTGTATAGGCTGTTTTCATGACCGGAATATTGAAAGGGGTTGAAATGACTTGTTGGGAACAGAGGAATGGGCTCTAAGTTACATTATGCAAGGTGCTGTTGGTTGAGCATGAAATTAGAATCTAATTCGTCAGATCATGACGAAAGCAAGTAGAACCGTGCTATATACGAACTTCACCCAAAGCAAGGAGTCCAAGGACATTTGCTTCCACCGCTGTATTACGCAATACTGTGAACCTATGCATTGCCTGCATCGCAGGGTTCGATATGAGTTCCATATTAATATTTCATCTCTAGATATTGTCGATGGGGTCTAAATGCCCGAGGAATGTCTTAATGCATATTACTATCTGTGCAAATTTGGGTCACTGAGCTTCGCTAAAGTTAAGGACTTTTGAATAAACCAGGCTGCCTATGACTAGGAGCATGGTATTCCTTCCCCTTCAACTATGTGACGAATTGCGATGCGAAAATTAACCCAGGAAGCTAGACTAATGCGGATAGCAAAGAACCTGCTCTTCCTTTTCTATAATACAAACCCTCCTCAAAGGCTTGCGGCACAGCAAAAGCGGCAATTGCAAACACTACTCTGTGTCCGCATCTTGTTCAGCCAGCCGGGATAACCAACCACTGAGCCGAGACTATACATATCACAATAGGTGATAAAAAAGCAAAGTGTAACGCTGTTGTTAGAGAGATTCGGCAAAAATGCAAAACATACAACAGCGGGGATTCGCTGGTCGTCACCGACCCAACTACTGATCCGCCCCTTACAGGCTTGACTATGGGAGAGCGGACGGGATCCCGTATTTTCCTGCAGGTATGGTCGTATGTGCTATGGATGGCAACCAAACAAGATTATAGCTTACACCTCCAGCTTATCTCAACATTGGCGCTTAGCCCCTCTCCATTGCTTCCTAGTCAAGATCATGGTTCTGGATGCGCTTGTGGAGCGGGCCGCTCTATGGGTGATCAAATGGACTTGTATAGATGCTATAGATAGATATTATCCTTGTAATTATTCAAAAGCTGAGTAACGACACGATTACTATACATGTCTTCCATCACTCGCTACCCAGTGATAGACTTCTGAGCTACATCCCTAGCAAGCTGTCCAACTTTAGCCAAGAGGTCGACAACACTACCTGGCACAGTCTGGCCAGAGTATCCACTAGAAATCTCATTAGTGATGGTCTCGACTTCGTTGCAAACACGACCATCAATAAGTGCCATCTGGCAAAGTCTGAGAATGACCTCAGCAAGCCTATCCTTATCCCATGATTGGGCACCCGTGTCTCTGGCTCCATTCTTCATATCGTTCATGAGGAGTGTCAACTGTGTTGCTTTCTCCCTAAGCTCAGTGAATCCAGCCAGTAGTGCAGCGGATTGCTTGTTGAGCGCATCAGTTGTTGCCTGGGGGACCGGAAGTTGCTATGCCACTTGCTCAACAGCGGCACGTCTGGTGTTGAGTTCGTTCTGCTGGTTCACAACCTGCATGAGAGCGCTATGAGCATTCTGCAGTTGGTACTGCGCAGCATTCACTCTGTCTCTCGCTCCTTCAATTCTCCGCTGGTGGTTTTCCATCTCACCCGAAGCAGGCCCTAAAAACTGCAACTTGCATCAGTGCTAGCTTGCTTCGCAGATTGATCAATCTTACCGAGAACATCCCCCCAATCTGGTTACCGATATCAGGCACGTCATCGTGTGCTTGACGGAGAGCATTAGAAGCATCCTCCATCTGGCGAGAATATCTTTCAACATCTTGTTGATATTGCTCAGTTTGACGACGGCCATTCTCCCAATCCATTTTAGTTTGCTCTAACGAGGAGAGAGGACTTCGATGTAGTCCGTCGCATGTCTGGAGAGTGAAAAGCCTCTCTGTCGTCCCAATACCGATGGGAAAATATTCTCACGCCAGCTCCAGTGGCGCTGAATGCTCTCGGTGCTTGTGCTGTCGCTACTGGCTCTCAGAAGGCCAACACCACCTTTGCACCACCCAAAGAAGGGTTCAAGTACTTAAGGTATTTGTCATATTCTGATAGTAGAAGTCATAGGACGAAACCTAACTCGGTCCAGTGACTTTGCCGGAGTCAAGCTCCACACCAACCTCTCGAAGTGTGTCGACCTGGGTTGATTTGCCTTTATGGAGACCGAAAAACAGATAAGCAAGATCAATATGCTTTCTGAGACAGTCTATGGGAGAGTAAGTGCGAATACTATTGTTGATTCGTCTTTCTGACTTTCCTAGTTTGAAAATGTCCTTGAAACACTTTCTGACTTAGAAGGTGCTAGAAGGCTGGTTGGACGGGAGATGGAGTCTCGGAATTATGCATCTCTGGACTGCTTGAATTCCTCCAAGGAGATTGACGGCAAGTATAGAGACTGGATTAACCATGCTTGCGAGCTCCATCGGGCCTGTGTCGCAGCGGAACCAACTTCAGAAGACCAGCAAGTCTTGAAGGACATCGAATTAGCTGTTGCTGGGCGTCAATCGACTACCAGCAGCAGATTTTCACTAATCAGTTGGAGAAATCCTTGGAAGCAGCGAATGAGGCATTCAAAAGAGCTTCTGATGGGTTCCCCAAGGAGTGAGTACTGCGGGCGTCCAACCTTGAAAGACTTGAGCTAACGTATTCAGTTGGGATATCGTTGGTCGGCAGGTTGTCGAAAAGCTGGCAGACAGCTTGGCCACCGCTCTGAACCAAGCCATGCCTACTCCAAGCGCAAGTAAGCCCAAGGATGCAGATGATCCTGCCTACAGCCAGGTCATGCGTGACTTGATCTACTGGGAGCTACTCAGCACTGCATTTGTTGGCACCACCGATGGTATTGCTTGGGACAGGGCTGGCCAGGCTGCGACTTTCGCAGCGAAGATGCTTGCCCATTCGCAAAAGTCTTTTGGCGCTCTTGCATCTGGTTCAGAGTCTAGTCAACAGTACAAGTCTTTCTTGGGGTCAATTGCGAATGGGGTACGTCTCCCTAACCAAGTCTCCATTGGCAATTACTGACAGTCGAATAGAGCACTGTGCCAAGCCAGCGCGGTACTATGGATATTGAAACAGTACAGGTTCAAGCCAAGACCGCCCAAGCCCAGGCAGTCGTCGAATCCGCCAAGACAAGGCTACACGCAGCGTCTGAAGCACTGGCTGCCACCCGAGAGACCTACCAAAACTCCACTGGAATTCTGGTTGAGCAGCAAGAAAGACTGGATCATGTCAACGCCAAGATGGAGAGTCTCAAGAACTCTGCCCCGGAAATGGTATGCATTTGACTAGGCGATACCGGTATGTGAGCTGTTGGCTAAAAGATAATCTTAGAACGCGATCATGGGAATCCTGGTCCAGGCGATTGCGACGATGTTGAAGATCAAGACCGAGATTGTGAACCTCGTGCGATTCTTCAACGCCATCTCGGTCGCCGTTCGATTTGTCATGGAAAAATATGTCAACCCATATGTTGATACCATCAAGGCCGGCAATGATGGGGACAAAATTGGGCCGTATTCCATGCTGGACTTCCAACGAAGTTTAAGTTGACCTTCATATGTCACGAACCCTGCTAACTGTTCATCTAGTGTATCTTCAACAGCACTACCATCATCCGATCCTACTTCTCGACCTTTGCCGACTATGCTTCAATGTGGGTCCGGATGTCGCCAATGAGTATTTTCCCAATGCTGCGTATAGTCGAAGAACTCTCATCTTTTGGTGGCATGGGGATGGATCCGAGAATGATCAGTAGGAAAGCAAATGAGACACAAGAATTTTCTAGGAGGGCAACTGATGAAATTTCGAGGAAAGCGAAAGATGTAAGGAGCAAGATGAAATTCCTGCGCCCTTCCATGAAGCTGACATTCCTACAGGGACAATCGAAGACCATAAGGAACATGGGCACCAGGGTGTCTGAGACCAATGAGAAGAAGCAGACGCTACCTTCTGTCTCCCCTGAGATTGCCGCGGCCATATCTTCTGTCGTTGAGAACTCTAAGAGAGGTGCTCAGTAGGGTATACGAACTGAAGCAGACCAGAGTCTTTTGGTAAAGCCGCTCGCCAGAGGAAGCGAGTTTTAGCACTCTAGAAGACATGCGACTTCCAATGACTGACCTTGAGCAAAGTTCTGATGTTCTTCAATAGACAATCGTTTCTCTACTTGGTGAAATGAAGCTTGAGATGTTGGTTTGTCCTGTTTTGAGGAAGTGGCCTGTCGTTCAGGAGACGGCTATATGCATATACCAATAACCAGGCAATCTTAGAATAATGACATCTTCTATGATAACTGAACACCTGGAACTTGCCCATTCAAGAACTCCATCCATCACTCCAAGAATCTGTAGGGCTAGTTGGGCGTGACCCGAAAGCACGGTAGGCACCATACTCTCGAATCTTTTGTGGCGGTGGTTCTTGCTTTGGTGTTCCAATAGACTTCTCGAGTTCCGCCTTGTTAAGCCCAATGATCAGGACCCTTCCTGTCTGACATCCTACTGCCAGCGTGAACCCATGTACCTCATAAATACTATCCCGACATTCAGCAGGCAATCTGAGAAGATCCTTCCCACGGTATTGAACCCAGCATGTCTTGATATCAAAAGACAGCTCTGGATAAAATGGCATTTCAACAGCAGAGCGGCCCCAGCTCCATTCTGCAGGGAGTGGAGCTTCTCCCAAGTTTGTTTGTATAGATTCACCAATGCCGAGAATGCGAAAGTTACGTGATCCGGCTCCTAGTCCCGAGATCTCGTGAGTACACTTTTTGCTTTGCCATTCCCAAATATGGACGTCTCCAGAGAACAAAAGCCCTACAAGGTGACGGGTGAGGCTCAGTTCCGAACAAACACTTCCAGTAACTCTGGGGATGGAGATCTCCCTCAGTATGTTACCTGTTTCTGTTTGCCAAATTTGAAGAGTCTCTCCTAGAATGGCTGCTGTACAGAAGCCATCAATGGACATAGCAAGTGGTGACTTATCAACACGCATACCAAAACCAGGGAGTGACTTTGTCCAAAGACGCTTCGCAGTCGTCAAATCCCAAGCCCAGACACATGTTTCTGTCTCATGAACATCGAGCAAGGAGGCGATCACGATCTTCAGGTCCGGCGTGAACAATATCTTGAAAGCCTCGTACCCTGGGGTCGATAGCGCCTGTGTGAGTACGAACTTCCCCTCCTTCATATGCCAGATACAGAAGGCTTCTTTCCCTTGGGGGACGACTGCAACTCTCTGGGAGTCGGAAGAGGGAAACAAATAGACCTTTTGCGCAGGATGGCATGCATCCATAGCCAGAACCTCTTCACCATTCTCAATGTTCCATATTCGAGATGTCTGGGGTACTGGACTCAGGCCGACCATAGCGGAATCATGAGAAAAGAATGGGATTGGTGAACCTAGCAACGGATACTCAGGGTAAAGATACTTTCCCCAGTCGAGCTCTTGCAGACAAACACTAGTCGCCGTGCTCCAGACACGAACCTTCTTGTCTGCACTCAGAGTTGCAACCCGCGTTCCATCAGGCGAGATTCGCAGAGAAACTACCTTTCCGAAATCATGATGAAGGTTTGACTCATCGACTCCCTTCTTCCAATCCCATATCCTGATAGTTTGATCCACGGAGAACGAAGCCAAGACTGATGAGTCAGGCGAGAACAACATCGAAGTCACAAGTCCCGAGTGACCTTGCAGGATTCCAACAGACTCATCCGTAGCCCAGTTCCAAGTTACCATGGTGCAGTCCATTGAAGCTGAAGTCAGGAACTTCGAATCAGGCGAGAAGAGAAGTCTCTCAATGCCATCACCGAACCCAAACGACTCAGCAAGGGAGATACCCTTGACTATATCCCAGACTCGAACACTGTTGTCTTCTGATCCAGATGCGATAGCTTTCGAGTTAGGAGAGAAAGTAAGCATCTTTATTCTCTTTTTGTGGCCAGAGAACTGGTGTAGGCATTTCTGAGGAGCGTCACGGTCCCATATTCTGAAGGTCGAATGGTCAGAGAGGACGGCAATGTACTTCGAGTTGGGGGAGAAAGTAACTTCCTTGACGCGTCTCTGGTACCCAGTGAGCTCAATGATAGACTTCCCGGTGTTAACATCGCGAAGTTCGACTTTGTTGTCCCTGCTCCAAAACGCAATGGACTTCAAGTCAGGGGAGAACACTGCTGTACCCACAGCCCCTGGGCGCGGGGGCAGTTCATAAGTGCACCTCTTGGTCCCTACATCCCAGCATCGTACACCCATATCGCTAGACAGGGTGTATATAGATTTTGAATTAGGTGAGAATGCTATAGAGCTTATGGTGTCGGAAAACTCGGCACCGAGAGTAGCCAAGCATGAACCTGTTGTCAGGCTCCAGATGCAAATAACGCCACTGTTAGATGCTGTTGCAACAGTTCTGCCATCTGGCGACATCGCAGACGAACAGATAGGATTCTGCTGATCTTTGAACTCGTGAATGCACTCTCCCGTATCCCAATGCCATGCTCGGATTGATCTGTCGTTCGACGTCGATATGAGGAGCTTGGAATCTGGGCTGAAAGCTACTGCGTTCACAAGTTCTTTGTGCCCTTCGAGAACCTGAAGACATGAATTCCAATCAGCAGCTACGGAGGGCTTACTTGTTATCCATTTCGGCACTTGAGATATGACTGCCTTCCTGATCACACTGTTCTCGGGGTTGAATACTAATCCACAGTAGATCTGCAGTGGGTTTGAACTTATTACCGAGATGTTGGCTTGGAGGAACCGGAGGGCATCAGGAACGAAGCCTGCCAGGGAGTCATTTGGCATTTTCTGCTTCCAGTCAGTGTTTGCCGCCGTCTAACATGAGTCCCAAATACCTGAAGAACTGTTTTAACGCCTTTCAGAAGACCCGAGATCTGCCATGCCCGACCCATCAAGATCAAGGCTTCCATCCACATAAGGAGGCGGTTCTTGAAAAAGTCTTCTAGGCTCGATATGATATCATCATTCAGCCCCGCAAGCTGTAGGTGAAGACTCCAGTAAAGGCATGCATATTGCACTTCCGGTGGCAAGCAAGTAGTTACTTGTTTCCGAGTTATGTTGGCTGGCTTGGTTTCCGGAGAGCGTACTCCGCATATGTCGACCTTCAGACGAATTTTCATAGTTGCAAGGCAAACCTTGGTAAGATACCGCGACATCTCTTTTCCACTGATCCAGAATGGGTTCTGAACACGGTTCGAGCGGTCTAGGAGGTAGTCTCGGAAGGAAAGGTGCAGCATGCGCACAGGGCGATTGGGTGTCGTAGGGATGCTGAGAACAGAATGGAGATTGTCTAACAAGAGATCGATCTCATCGCGGGGTGTTCCGAGAAATCGCGACAGAGATGTAGTCGATAACGGGCTCGCAAGGCAGATGATTGTCCCAATAATACGGAAGAACCTTCGTAGGATATCCTTTCGTTCAGTCTCAGATGCGCCAGCAATGAGTTGATTGAGAGCAGGTGAATAGACCAGGCCCATCCTTGAGGTGTCTGACGTATTGTTCTGGGCAAGAAGCCTTAGCAATTGCTTATCAGGGCTACCCAGTTTCCGATCGCCAACGAAGCGACACATAGTAGCTGCAAAGATAAACAGAGGTGCGGCCCTCTTTGCCAGGATCCCGATGTCCTTGCTCTCAGGCCAATTAGGATCTATCCTCCGGTCTTCTGCCACAGAGGCATTCCATTCTTTCCTGATCTTTGACATATCATGCCGAAGGTAGGTGGCGATATCCTGCTCAACCACGTTCTGTGGCATCTGATGAAGAATGCAGTTCTGAAACGCTCCTTCAACAGCAGAGAACCCAAGACGGACAGGAAGCTCTGGACGACTTGTAATGAGAACACGGATCTTGGGTTTCTGTATAATGGCAGTTTGGGAGAGCAAATCGACCAGGAGCTTGATATCCTCGGCTTTCTCGCACTCATCCAGCGCATCGATAACGATTGTAATGGTACAACTGTCGGGTAGGCTTTTGGCACTTGCCACTATTGGATCGATGATCAGGCGTTTAAATTGTACTTGAGATGTTTTCTCAAAGATACCGGTGTCATTGCTGATCATTTCCACCAGATGCGCTGTATACGCTGGCTGGTTGGCAGCCAAATGTCGAGCCAAAGTGGTGAAGAACTTGGTCAAGCTTCCGCGATCTGTCTCACCCTGTTTGAAGAAGAAGGTTGCTCCAAGTTTATCCTTCCTCTGAGCTGATGCAGCGACTGTGCGTGATATGGTCGATTTGCCAGTCCCAGCCATGCCATTCAACCAGAAGATGGTCTTTGCGTTTTCATCTTCGATCCATGCTGCTATCTGAGCGAGGAGCGCCACGCGTGTGTTCTTCAAGCAGCCAGGATTATGCTGCTCAGCCTGTGAGTCGAACGCCGCGCCTTCGGCCAGGGGCAGGCTTTCTATCGCTGCTTTGCGTTGCGCGAGTTTTGCTTGAAGGTTTACATCGAGCAAAATATCACTAGCAATGTATTAGATGTGTCGCGAGGAGTTCTAGGTGGATACACTTACGCAATATCGATTTGGAGTACCTGGTGGATAATCTGCGTGCACTTCTCAATCGCTTGTATATCATCCTCAATACCTTGTTTCTTCAGTGGCCAGAGAATTCTGGCAACTTTGCCGCTCTTGCAAAGCTTGTCCTCGAGGTTTTTCATGGATTTCTTCCCATTTTCTGTTGTGTTCTGAAGCTCTCGTGAGGCTTCAAGCCTTTCTCCTCTGGGTGTCTTGATGATTTGCCTAACCTTCTCAGCTACTAACTTGAGGCCAGAGACAGCCGAAAGCAGTCTTTTGCGCTCCTCCTTCTCGTTCTTGAACTCGTCGGCATAGTCGTAGCACCATTTTATCACTTTGATAGACGTGTCAATGATGGATATAATATTGACGGCGGAACTCAGACCGTCCATTTTGAATGTTCATGTTTGGGTCAGTTCTTGGCACGGCTGGGCGAAGATCCCCGTGCGGGGATGAAGCTATTTTGGCTTGCATGGCGGTAGGCCTAGACCTTCAGCTGAACATTTGGATGAAGTCCACGTGATGAGGCTGGCGTTTGGTGAGACTTTAGTGAGATCTGCGGATATATCGGCCGACGGCGAACTGCGTGGTTGACTTCAGCAGGGTAAAGGCACCATCAGCCAAACAATGGGGAAAGGGTGATGTCTATAATGGATATGGACATAAGGAGTTGTTGATACTATTAAATATTTGAAGGTTGTGATTTGACCCGGCGTAAGTTGGAACGATTTCCTTTTCTAGAAGGATTATCCGAGCTCTTCAAAGCCCCGAGTACTGTACGGGACCCGATAAACTCGGAGCCGTGTCGCTTCTTTATCGCCGGCAATCTCGGGTCCCGGTGCTCCCCCACGTGAGGATCTTACGCCTCCACCAATTCCAGGTTGTCTAATCTGCTGAATGCACTGTAACTTGGGCTATCATTTGATATGACAAGTTGACAATGGAAAGGGCGCTCAAATGCGGGGTTTAGCGGTTGGATATCGTCGGCTCGGCCTGCCAATAGCGGCATAGGATAAGCCGACGGGCGATACTGACCCCAACCCCACATGACTTGAATGACTTGGAGAATGTAATCAGTTGACATTCTCTTAACTTATCCCTTCTTTCTTTCATCCTTCTCCTTTAATCTTACAGACTATAGTATGTGCCCCTTTTTCCTAGCACCCTTAATCAACTACACCACTAACAACTGATAAGATCAACTTGAACATCATGGCAACTTATAAAGAAACAGTATCAGCTGCCTTACAACAGCGCGATATCGGCCTTGACAAGGTCGAACCAAAGCTACAGGGCATCCCCGATGAGCTTCCTCTTAGCTCTCAAAGCCTTCCTCAAGGTGTCTTGACTGCACGTGAGATTGAGATCACAGAAAAGTATTCAGTGATCGAGTTGCTCGATGTCCTCCGTAAGCGAGAGATCAAGGTTGAGGAGGTGACACGTGCATTCTTGCGGAGAGCGGCACTCGCTCAGATTGCTGTAAGTCATGACCCACTTACACCCAGACACTATGCTAACGACTCGAGTAGACCAACTGTTTAGTTGAACTTATGTGGGATCAAGCCATTGAGCGAGCCAAGTACCTCGACTCGCTACCGGAACCTAAGGGGAAGCTCTTCGGTCTTCCCATTTCCACTAAGGAGCATCACGGAATGGTTGGGGATAACGTCTCAACTCATGCCTCATTCGTTGCATGGATTGGCAAAGCCCACGGCTCCAACCTTCTCTATGACCACTTGTATGACGAAGGCTGCGTCTTCTACGTGCGGACTACTCAACCTCAAACTATCATGCATCTTGAGACCATCAGCAACATCTATGGGCGGACAGTCAACCCTTACAACCGTGATTTGACGGCTGGTGGCAGCAGTGGTGGTGAGGGAGCTTTGCTCGGCTTCCGTGGAAGCATCTTGGTAAGTGTAATTTTGTCTGTGATCTGAGCTTTCGACTGACCTGAATAGGGTGTTGGTGGTGATATTGGTGGTAGTGTCCGTTGCCCAGCTGCCCACAACGGAATCTATGCCTTCAAGTGAGTTATCGTGGTAGCCATGCTCAGAGGTATCTTTGCTAAACCCTAATAGGCCAACTCTCAAGCGAATCTCAGTCATGGGCGCGCGATCGATCATGGTCGGCAAAGAGACCGTTTCCTCGACACCTGGACCGATGACGGTTGACCGCGAGTCCCTCGAACTCTTCATGGAAATTGCCTTGTCAAAGAAGCCATGGCTCATTGATCCTTCCCTTACAGCCAAGCCATGGACTCCTTTCAAATTCGACAGACCTCTGAAGGTTGCGGTTCAGTGGTGGGACGGTGTTGTCCAGCCCCATCCTCCCATGACAAGAGCTCTGAAGGAGGTTGCGGAAGCTTGTCGCAAAGCTGGTATGGAAGTTGTAGACTGGGACTGTGAGCCTTTGGATCACAAGAAGGGATGGGAGATTCTATCAGCATTGTACTGGCCCGATGGAGGCAAGGAGGCTCTTGAGCTCATGGAGGCCGCTGGGGAGCCTGTACTTCCATTGACAAAGTTCATTATTCAGGAGCAACCCAGCGTGAAGGATTTGACGATGCATGAGCTTTGGGAGGTAAGTTTACTTGGCATGATTGGTCGGACAGTACTGACTGCTTCCTAGCTGTGCACCAAGCGCGATGATTACCGGGCAGCATATGCTCGCGCTTGGTCATACACAAGCAAGAACGACGGAAGAGAGGTTGATGTGATTCTGTGCCCGCCATTCCCTGGAGCAGCAGCACCTCATGATCAATCACGGTACTGGGGCTACACTTCACACTGGAACCTGCTTGACTAGTAAGTTGCCCTCGTGATGTTCCGCCAAATTCTGCTGACAGTGAGCTCCAGCCCCGCTGCAGTCTTCCCAGTAACAACAGTCGATCCTGAGAAGGACCCCAAGGATCTAAACTATGTCCCCAAGAATGAGGACGACAAGTTCAACTATGACTTGTACAGCCCCGAGAAATACGCCAACATGCCTATCAACCTGCAAATTGTTGCACGAAGGCAGTATGATGAGAAGGTACTTGCTGCGCTCAAAGAGATTGAGCACGCAATGGGTAGAAAGTGATTGGATGCTGGTTGTCTACATGGCTTGTCTTAGAGGCGGCTGGCCTAAAACTCCGCAACTCCGCCACCCTAGAGTCGGGGAAACCATTACCCCGATAATGATTGAGAGGAACTCTGCGTTGTGGAAAGTAACGACGTGATATCAATTCGATAGTTGGGACATACACCATAGATCATATAAAAGACTCAAGACTTCTGAATTATGTATACTCTGGATTATCCTTTTCGCTAAGCATTGAGCTCCTAGTAACGCCACCTCCAGTGATTAGATGTTTATACCCATGTGCTTCAATATAATTGAACCAATGACCTAGGGTTGTTTGTATATCCTTTTCTGTTTCCCCTACAAATTCCCACAAAGTCATCTGCCCAATTATTCGACGCAAAAAGGTTCGGAGAATGGTGATGTCCCGAATGCAACATCGGGCTTCATTGATCCAATCACAAGGCGTGAAAAAGATCGCTGACACTTAGGAATGATGACCAACCATTGGAAGCGGTGAGACTGGTTGGCCGTGTTATGCGAGTGCGCAGTCGAAGTCTATTACATGGCGGGAAGGGCAATAAAAGTCTTCGGAGGAAATGTATTATATAAATAAATTCAGCCGGCTACACCAGTTTCACTACTTATCACCAACTCTCTCTTTGTTTTGCCAATACCCCTTGACTTGAGAATCGCGTAACACAAACACTTTACCATGTCTGACAAGCGCACCATCTTGATAACAGGCTGCTCGGACGGCAGTCTTGGTTCTGCCCTGGCACTGGCAATGAAAGATCGTGGATGGCGTGTCTTCCCCTCCGGGCGTAACCTAGCGAAGTTGAGTAAGGTCAAGGAAGCCGGCCTCGAATGCATCGAAATGGATGTTGGCTCGGATGAATCCGTCTCAGCAGCCGTTGAGAGAGTCAAGCAAATTACTGGCGGCTCACTGGACGCGTTACTCAACAATGCTGGCACCGGCTACAGCATGCCTATTATCCATGTAGACATCGCCAAGAGTCACGGACTCTTCGAACTCAACGTCTTCTCTATCATCAGAGTCACCCAAGCCTTTTTTCCTCTCCTTCTCAAGTCTACCCACGGCGCTTTACTTATCAACAACACCTCCGCATCTGGCCTTCTCGGAGCTGGTATCCCATTCCAAGGAACTTATGCAGCATCCAAAGCTGCTGCAGCCAGTGTGACTGAGAGTTTGAGAGTCGAACTCGCGCCCTTTGGCATACGGGCGATCAACCTGTTCACAGGTGGTGTCAAGTCTACTTTCCACAACAATTCACCTGATGCTGAGCTTCCCAAGGACTCGATATACAACATCGCCAAGGAGGCTATCGAATCTACCATGAATGGCAATGAAGCAGGGATGAACAAACCTGATGCGACGACCTGGGCGAAACAGGTCGCTGAAGATTTGAGTCAACGTAAACCACCTTATCTGATCTTTCGAGGCGGTAGTGCTGGTTTGGCTCGCCTAGGCACTCTATTTCCGACGGGTACCTTCGACTCGACTGTCAAACAGCTTGGTGGCATAGACGTGTTGGAGAGAAAGCTGAAAGAGGCAAAGTCGACCCCTAAGCCTCAGTGATCGGATGAAATGGGAGGAGGATGGTGGAATTAATAGTGCTTTTCTTAATTTATATGTTCGGACCATGTGTCATCTAATGTCGTGCCAGACGTCGCATTGTGAGCGGTGATTCACGTGATGTGCGATGGTGACATAGATGTTGTACATGACGAATATGATGAATGATCTCGGCATATGGCGTGTTGCGATAAGGAATATGAACTTGATCAATAGTTGCTTCGGTTAAATAGGCTCTGGATATTTAAACTTCTTAAAATAATAATATTATCGATTTCGGAAATTCATTATGGGAGACTATAACATCAAGTCTGTTGCGGTTGTTGGAGCCGGAGCTGCCGGTAATTCTTAAAGCTTTCACCCCGCTTGACGACCTATGGAAGAACTAATCATTCCTGTTTTGATAGGCGCCATTTCCGCGGCAGCTCTGAAGGCAGAGAATTACTTCGACCGTATTCGAGTGTTTGAACGGAGAGAAACACCTGGGGGTACTTGGTAAGGATACAGTAATCGGAAAGCAAAGACCTTAGACTCATCATATTAGGATTTACGATGCCGATCCACAAGTCGCTCCTATACAGCCTGGTGGTTTCCCAGCAGATATTGATAAGCCACTGGCGATTCCAGAGAACCTGCCAACCGTGACGCCTCCAAACCAGCAGGAGAGATACGCCCATACGCCAATCTATCAGAATCTCACGTAAGTCACTCACTCGATCATTCGGATCCTAAGTTGCTGAAAAGAAAAAGAACTAATGTGCCTCAAATCGCGATGTCATTCTCGGATCAGCCGTTCTCCTATGGTCCTTTCGTTCCCCATTATGTTCCTCGCCAGTACATCGAAACATATTTCTCCACACAAAAGACTGACGAGTATTTGTCTCTCAACACTACAGTAGAAGATGTCTCCCAGCTACCTGCTGCTACTAAGGGAGGACTGAAGCCGTGGAGGTTAACGTTGCGGAAATATGACTCTCTACGTCACCTCGACGTATGGTGGCAGGAGGACTTTGACGCCGTCATACTCGCCAACGGGCACTATGCTATTCCCTGGGTAAGTACTTTGACCTCCGGCAAGGCAATTTCCTGATGACAGTCGTGATTAGGTTCCCAATGTCCAAGGCTTGGAGGCATACACAGAGAAATTCCCTGGCAAAGTGATACACTCCAAATTCTATCGATCACCTTGGATATACGCCAACAAAAGAGTCCTTGTTATTGGAAACTCGGCCTCTGGTCATGATATAGCAGTGGATCTTCTACAGTCTGTTCACCAACCGCTCTACCAGTCACGGCGATCGCGAGGGAGGTTGGATGGCGATGAACCTCCCCTCGGAATGGAGTGGAAGACAGTTATCAAAGAGTATCGACTGGATGGTACAATCGTGTTCGACGATGGCAGCGAACTCAAAGACATTGATCACGTCATTTACTGTACAGGATATCTTCCATCTTATCCATTTTGGAACAGCAAAGTGAACGGCCGTCCACTATTCGACTACAAGAACAGAAAGCTTATCAACAACTACTGGCATACCTTCTTCCAGGATATTCCCAACTTGGCAGTCGTCGGCATGCCTCGCGTCTTGACATTTCGAAGCTTCGAATACCAAGCCATCGCACTTGCACGACTCTTCTCCGGGAGAAACTCTATTTCTCTTCCACCAAAGGATGAACAAAAGAAATGGGAACTTGACAGAGAGAAGCTTTGTAGACAGCAAGGACGAAAGTTTCACGAGATAGAGTGGGAGACTGGTGAGACGTTCAAGTGGTTGGAGGGGTTCTTCCAGATCGCGGGCCTGGGAACATTGTCTGGGGAAGGCAGAATACCTCCTGTCTTGAGCAAAGATATTATATGGGCTATTGAACATGTGAGGAAGTACCCAGAGCCAGGTAGGGACGATCACGACAAGAGCAGAGAAGGGTCTGAATCTGAACATGATGGTTGGGAGTTGGTTGAAAGCACGCATAAGGATCTCTTGTCCTTCATCTAGATAAAGAATTTGTCAAATATACAAGTGAGACCATTATACTCCTTCACGAAGGAACATTCCATCGTCTCTCCCCTTCAAAATCATGCGGTGAATAATACAACTCTCGGACTGTATTCTTCTCCCTGTGAGCCACTCTTCGGCGCTCCCTTTGAAACGGAAGCTCATTTAGGTTGTTTTCATTACCAGGTCCGTTCTCATAGGCAAACGCATCCATCCACGCTAGGTCAGCCTGGGCCTCGCGGTGACTGATCTTGATCTTAAGGGCAAGACTCTCGAGAAGACCGCTATTCCACAGCACTGCCTTTCTCGTCTTTTTTCCAAATATAACAGCCGGGAGTAACCTGATGCCGTTCTCAGGGTCCCATTTCGATCGCAAGCTATGGTAATGTTTCCAGTCCTTCTCGAGGCTGTTCTTGAACCTCAGTGCGCTTTTGCGATAGAAGCCCTCCTCACGAAGCACAGGATCACCGATTGCCATAGAGGCATGGGATTTGTAGGCTGATGCGAGATATGTGATCAACTTCTTGTCGTTAAGCGGGACAACGGCTGAGTCTGATTCCGTGCAGGGATAATAGTCTGGATCGTCGCCTTTGCTGTAGTGGATGGGTATGCCAACAATCCCAAGGTATACGGTTTTGATACCTTTGTACTCGGGATCTTGGGTAAGGCACTTTTGCAAGGCTTCGAGTCCCTGTCTTGTAGGCACCGTGGAAGCAATAGCCTGGATGTTGCTTGGTAAATTGGTGATGCGTCCACACGTCAGTGCAGCGATCGGTACGTGCAGAGTTGTGAAGCTATTGTCAACCCAAACGGAATGGTATCTCTTTTCGAACAGTCCTCGAAGTCTTTCGCAGAATACTCGATATTTCTTGTTCTTGACAGTCATATACGATCCGCTCTTCATTGCCACAGCACGAGCATCGTAGCATGCCTCCAATAGGGGCAGAGGTCCATCTGCGCCGTCTGATTTTTCCAACCGCAAACCATGTAAGAAGGCGGAGCGGAAAATCTTGTAGGCTGCATGTGTGTCTTTTTTCTTTGGAAGAGCTTCTTCCCAAATCATTAGGCAAAGCTCCGGTGGTAGTTTGTTGAAGCTCTCAAAGTCATTTGACATGGATTGGCCCATGATGGCAAAAGCTGATAGCTAAATGTATAGTGCTACGAATGGAGGCCAGGTGCTGCTGTAAGAATGGCGGAGGAGCTGTAATAAGGTTAGATGCGACGTTTGTGTGATGATGGAACAAGAGACACTAAACTGGCGTTCAGGAGAGAGAAGGGGGGAGGGGGGGGG